AGACATGCTTTTGAACCTTCTCTATCATTTCTTTACGCATTCGCATTATCCTCCATTGAAACTGACCGCTCTTATCAACTACCAACATACAGCTGAATGACTATCCGATATCAAATACCCCTTGACCTCTATTCTTAGACGCAGCATTCCGGGTCCACCATTTTATCAACTATAGCGAGCGAAAAGTTTGGCTGGTTTTTTTTATCACCACAATATCATGACTATATCCGCCAGTTCCACCTTCTACACTCTTACAGAACGTCTGTCACTGAGTGGCGATATCCGTTTTCGGCAGGCTGCTTCAACTAACTAGTGATATGATCCACTTGGGCTGGGCTGTGAATTTGCCAGTCACTGGAGCAGTGAAGCAGCCAGTCAGTGAAATCGAACTATCAGGCCTCAGAGGAAGGATATAAATACCTCCAGCCTGCCGGGAGCTTTTCTTCCCCTTCCTCCTTTCTCTTCATCCCTCTGTTTCGTTCCTTACTTCTGTGTTCTGATTACATTATGCTGAAGGACGATTCTCTCCTTTTCTATTTACGATAATACATAATACCCTCTATATCGCAGCATAGGTCTAATAGTGCTATAGCTGTAGGGCCTGAAAACTTTCAGGGATATCACACCTTTGGCTCTAGGTAGGTCAGAAGTGGTAAAATCAAGCCTGCGATGGGATATCTATGGTTTATTTCTGAAAAAAGGGAGACCCCTTTGTCACTCGAGGAGGAAGGATAAGACCTAAGGTATGTGCTTTACCTGCTGCATTCGCCAGCTGACTATATCAACAGAGAAGTAGATGCCGGTATCAACCATAAGCTACGAACTACACGATCGAGTTTGGTCGGATTCGCTAGCTGCGGCGGTTGTCTACTTGCAAGATGGCATATCTAATGCGACATATAGTTACTACAACAACAATGCCTGTTCTTAGCAAGATCCGTCCAGAAGACTACAACGGGGGGAAGTTATTTTCTAGTCACAAACGAGTCATTCGCGCGATGGAAGTAGCGTCGATGTGGCTGAGATACCCACCTTCAAGGAACGCAATAGGGTGGCAGCCTTAATAACTGCCTACATGGAGCAACACGGTCCAGTTACTGGCATGCACTGGTAGACCGAACATTAGTGCCAGGAGTTTATATCGCTATATCGCAAGGAAGAAACAGAAGCAATTGAAGATTGGCTCAGCGACAAAACAGTCTACATCTTCAACTATGGCCGTCATCTGGAGGTCCATGCTAATATTATCGACGATAACTGTATATGCGTTTACTTAATTTCAAAGGATGTTTTGGTCAAATTTATCCTTGAAGGAGGAATCGACTTCCTAAATTTCCGCATGGATTTCCCCGTCCAGGAACTTCGGCCTTTAACATCGCGACAAAATAACAGGTTGCTGGATACTCCCACAAATGCTTGATTGGTGGCATTGAATATACTATCAGTACAAAGGAAAGGTATATATTTTCAAACCCTTTTCTACGAAAAGTAATGGCGTATATTGCAAAGCACAGAAAATCTAGATTCTCATCCCCGATGCTGGTATTATGGTACTTATTTCGTGGTAAGAATTTTCCTAAATACCTAACGTTGTGCCAATCTGACATTCTTTTTGCAACAGGGTTTCAATCAATAGCAGATGAAATACCATGAGTATATTTCCTGAAGGCTTCCTGTGAAGGTATCCAGGAAGTTTCTATGCCCATTTTCATTTCCATTTGTTCGAATTGGGTCCTTAACTTAAAACCTACTACGCACAGAGTGAATCTTATTTGAAGCTGCAATCTATGGGCCTCAAGTTTCTGTCGTGAGCGGGACAAATGAGAAGCTTAAAGAGGTCACATTGGATATGAGCTCGGCCATCAAGGAGCCTTTCGATGCAAGACGATGGTTGGACCCTGCGCATAAACATGGGCTTAACATGATAGCCTGGCGGGAGTCCTCCTGAAAGCAATTTGTCCAACCAGTCCATGACATGGCCCAACGTCCATGCTGGGACCGATTGTTCTGATGAAGCTCAGAAGGTGCAATATGGTGGCTGTCGGCAAATTTACCCCTAGGAGACAACCGTGAAAATGGGCGCTCCAGGCTGGTGTTCTCCAAGGTCGGTATGATTGTGGTCCAAGAAATAAACAACATGAAGCTACTATCTTTGAGGCATTCCCAGTTTATTCTACCCATATCTTCCTTAATTTTCGGCATGTATGCCGTGTGTCCGATGAGCAAGAATTAATCAGCAGCTCGTGCATGGAAAGTAAGTAACTTGTCACTCTAGGATACTATTTGCACGCTTCTAACTTTAACATTAGGTTCCCATTAGAACTTCGCTCGACAGAATTGGACTCTCGAGAAGTTGCACCAACACGTTGCATCAGAGAAGTTGTTATCTTCTAGAACTACCGTGGAGCCTGCTGTCAATATGGTCAGCGTATGAAACTATATCCACACGTCTTGACGCAAGTTTGTTCTTCTATGGGCCAAGTGATCTACCTATTTTAACATCTCGCTATGGGCTCTGAGAAACGTTATCCTTCCTACCAATAGTGTAGGCTCGTTCTTTTGATTGAATGGTATACTTCGATTAGTGTTAAGGCCACAATTGACATTTTTGGAGATCTATCCGTGATTACCCACATATTACGGAGTAATTGCAAATCTATATCCCGTGGGAAATATTGGGCGTTAACCCTATCTTACAGCAATGCCATACAAGATAGTGGTTCTGCCCCTTGCCCCGAAACTTATGCCATATACTTTAGCAACGATCTGCATCATCTAGGAGAGCCTTCATTGAAAGCAGCACTAAGAAAATTTTTACGCCAAACTACATTGGACTATCACACCGATACCATGGGATAGCGGAATAATGTCTGATTGCAGTCGACGTCCTCGTACGGTATTGATAAGCGTCCATCAGGCAAAGAAACGATAAGCAAATGTCTATCATAACATTCTATACGAGGCAGGTGTCCTTTTATGTACACTGTCAATTACCCGAGAAGATTTTGTGAGACAAAATACCCGACCGAATGTTATTGAACTCGGCGAAGCTGCGCATACCTGGGAGATGTCGAGGTTGATTTTCCGCACTGACTATCAAGCCAGCAGGCATATTTTAGTTGGTGATCCTCTATAGCTACGGCCAGACGTTAGTTTGTATCTCCAGCAAAGCGACGCGATCAACCAGAGCCAAGTTTCGCTACTTTCACAGAGCATTCTTCGAGCCTCTAAACCGCTATTGAACTTCCTGCACCATGGAATCATACGAGATATTTAATGGGGTCTGACAGTGGGACCTTGACTGCCTCCGAAACGTTGTGAGGTCTCTTGGTTTTCTTGCTTTTTTGTGCTACCTTTGCAACGATTGCATTAACTATTAATCCGGAGAGCCATTTTGATACCCGCTTTTATCGACGGCCGTAACCTCACGAACCTACTGACCGATGAACATGATACCCGATAGCCAATCAAGATTTCACTAGTTGAGAGATGCATGCATTTTGTCATTTGAGGAGCCTTACTTACCACCTATTTGATTGACGAGCACACTAACTATCTCCACGTCAAAGGCGGAAAGGATTTTTCGAACCAGCACTGTTCTGGTGGATATGCCGACCTGAATAAGTCTTAATCATTTGAAGATCAGTGGTTACAGTTTTGACCAGCCCCTAGTGTCCTTGGATTAATCATGCGCATACATGATTGTCTCGGCAATCGCTGTCTAGTTTCGGTGGTCGCGTTAACTAAGTTAACTAACTAGCGAGTTAGTTAACCCAGCTAGTTAGTTAAATGAACTCGGTTCAACGGAGAAATTTCGACTTCATGGTCTCACTACCCGCTATTCAGTGTTTTGCAAAAACTGACAGCGTTGCAACTTTGGGGTCTGCAGAAGCAAAAGGGTATAAATATCTCTTCCATTTGCTGTTACTTTTGCTCTGGATCGAGTATACGAGATTTCAGCCTTTCAGATAGTGCTGTCTTCTTCCCATGCCTGCTTTATGCTTGCTGTCTTCAGTCATTATGCAACAATCAAATACTACCAATATCCGTATCAAATTCCGCCATCCAGCGAATAGCCAACGCACAATTGTGCAATCCCAGGACGAAGAGGCTGATTATTTGAATACATGACGGGCTATTGCACAAGCGTCGATGTCGAAGATACCCTGGGATATTGCAAAATCAGATCTACGATATTCGTTGTCGGTTCATCGGCTAATGCGGCTGTGTCATAGCCGATGAGGCACATACCATCAAGAACAGGATATCATAACGCCATCTTCTCTAATATACAGCCAGGACAAAGAGATCAATACACATGGGAAATCAGCTTAGCTCCCCGTCCTTGCGGAGTCCTCCGACCTCTAGGCGTATCCTGGGCAAATAATGCTTTTGTCAACCGAACGTACTTCATCCATTTCCTGCTAGGCGCAAGGAATATATGCCTCTCATGTCCACAACCGACCTTACCAACACAAACGAATACAAATGTTTCTGGAGTTCGGTTTTCCTGTTGTCAGGGCGAAGGAGCGGCCGCCTGAAGGGATTGTATGGATGATCAAGAAGGAGTCAAGCACTGGGATTCTCAATGATGCTCCCAGACTGGGAAAGACTGTCCAGGCACTCGGCCCTGCCTACTTTGCGGTCATACAGCGAAAGACCGACTAATAACCTCCAATTCCTGACCGGATGCAAGACTGGAGACGAGGAACAAAGTCAACTTTTGAGGATAGGATACCTTTGGAATGCTCAATGATCGAAAGGCATGGTTTTCCCCCCTGATCATTCATCCAGGCAACATATTCTTCCTGGTGGTGATTTTCTCCTTGGACTTCTGGATACGGGCCCCTTCGATCTTCCTCAAGATTGAATGGCTTGACTGTTGGCTCGCTTACTCCCCTGCACCAGTGGATGCGCTCAGATATTAACCACTCAAACCCCTCGCGGAATTACTAGCATCGGCGAAAGCCACGGCTCATGGTTTCCACCTCTGAGCCTTGAACATAGCTACCACCGCAGGTATAATCTCGCGAGTTTTTATCACCCACATGATAGGGGCTGGTTCCAGAACAACGCTGCCATCGTACTGCCTAGTGGTTGTCCGCTGAAGTATCACTCAGCCTACCGTTCTAGCCGCAGAACGTCATCCTTTGGTGGCTGGGATGCAAACTATTCACTACTCAAGAGACTAGCGGTTGCTGCGAACTTGACCGTGCAGGTTTTAGAAGACTTGATTACAACACTTCGTTTCTAAGGCTAGCCATTACTACGCCCACTGCTCCCCACGAAGAGGCTGGTTCCTGTTTTAGCGCCAATGGGAGTCTGGCGCTTACAGAGTGTCATACAGTGGCAATATGCCACTTTACTACATGGACCTAACACAGCCAGCGTGGATATGGCGTGGGCAGAGGTATAACTCGCGAATGTAACTCTCAGGGAGGATAAATTACATGTTCTCTCTGTGTTCAACGTCGTGATAAATTCCAATGCATCATCAATGCCCAGGACTCTCCCCAATCGCTGCACCAAAAAGAAAAAAAAAAAAAGAAAAAAAGAAAAGAAAAGAAAAAAAAAAAAAGAAAAAAAAAAAATAGGCCAGGATCTTATAATGATAGATGGTGAAGACCTGACTGCGTGGAAGATATCCATCTGTCTCCCCCTGTCAGCTTATTGGGATTATCTTCAGTCTACAAAACCTGAACTGCGGAAACAACCGGAACTACGGGTGGGAAGCCTCTGGCTGATTGATTTGGAAGGGCTACGAAGGGTGGCAATGAGGTCCACTGAGATGATCCGATGTTTGCTCTCCCAAATGCCATTGAGAGTAACAATCCTTCCTTGCAAAGGTTGATACATCTCGATACACTGCTGTGATGGAGAAAGGTTGAGATGCTCGATTTCACACCTCTGCATTCACATCAGAATCATTTTTGGCCATCTGACAATAAGTTTCTTGATGCCTGTATCCCGACAATCAATACCATGCTTCGGATAATGATATCTTTACCAGAATACTTCGATGGTGCCAGCGAACTGAGTATACCGTTCACATGCACCGATGCCAACAGGCCTGGGCAGTCTATGCTACGTCTGTCCCTACGTCAATGACACCACAACGATTACACCACCAAACGGCAGGCACTCTTGGGTTTCAGCTCCACTATCCTACGAAGCCAGAGGCGATAACTAAGTGCCGCAAGCGGGAGGCTGATGAGCGTCTGACCTAAAGTTGACTCTCAACCAAGCCCTGTCTTCGATCTATGGCGCCGCAGCCGCTCTCAACTAATGCCTCTCTCCCTGAGACTCACTCTAGCCATAGCTATGAGGACCCCAGCACGAGCAATCGATAATGATGAATACCATGGTGAGCACTGAGGACCAGCTGTTGCCCGGCCCATTCGCCCTAGTCGCCCAGCCCAACGTCTTGTGTCAAAAGATAACTTCATCTTGCCGTATCACCATTGGAAACTGTCATTATAGCGAGACACGAAACTAAAGCACTGGCAAAATTCACCATGTGGGCTGGTCGCTTTGGTTGAACGGCATATTTGATATTATGCGGCGCTCATCAGGGGCCTTAGTTCATCACTCTACATTCCGGTCCCTGTCAGAGAGCGAGCGCCTACCCTTGAGCCAAAAGAGCGAGCCCACACTAATGACAGGCATCATATGGCAGATAGAGGCTATTACTTCGACTTGCTGTCTCTGTCCCGCCGAATGGATATATATATCTCTGCGAGCGGATCCAGAGACACTGGAGATAGCTAAGAATAACGGGGGCTTTGACTCTAGTGCACCCCTGAGATCCTCAAATGCCTATGAAAGCCTGTCGACGGAATATGAAGTGCGATCAAACACAATGGTGATAACGGCGAACTGTATCGAACAAAGCAAATACATCAGCCCCTATGCACTATGGGGCCTTGTTCGCAAGCGATTCTTTTCTAAACCTAGTGATGTTAAACATAACGATCTACAACTACCACAAAGTTGTAAACATTATTCCATTCAGCTGGAAGTCAACACATTTGGCAGTGAAGCAACGAATGCTCGCGAGATAGCCGCCCTAGCCGGATATAGATACAGCCAACATAGGTTTCTCGAACTTATTGAGAGATGAAGGTCGATATGGGACAGGGTGCGTGCCTGGCGTTGTTTCTGTCCTCGCACTCCCTTGACCAAATGTTGGTTTCTCCTGAGGACATTATCAACTACCTGTTGGCGAAACAATGCAGGATACCTGTTACCAAGCTGCCTCGTTGGCTGCAAGCAACTTCTACCTCATTTCTTCCGGCTACTGGGGTGACTCAGACCTGCCCGCCTTCCACTGGAACTCCAGCCCAAGGCAGTTGGGGCTGCTTCCGGGCAACCAGTATTCACCTTTTACGTGGTACACACCGATAATGAGGAAAGGTGAAGGCCTTTTGCGAAGGGTAGCTCCAGGGAGATAAAAGCAGTTGGGTGAGTGTGTATACGGCCGGTTGTTCGCGCGGCATACTTCGACAGCATGGAAGGAGATCTCTAGGCAAACCAATGGTCAATTCTATGGCTCTCTTCGCATCTCCACTTGTGAAGATGAGCATCTGGCTCTGAGAGCTAAACCTGTCCCATGGTTGGTATAGAGAGACTTCAATTCTCTCTACCTAGACACTGGGCTCGCGAAAAATCGGCATCGAAATGGAAGTATTCCACGCTTCCTGAGTTCCTTATTCCACCGCCGGTGGCTTTGACCCTAAGTACTGTACTCTTTTAACTTTTCATTCGGCCATCAGGGCCCTCGCTCACTTCCGGCAGAGAGTGGTTATATTTGACACCAGGCTGTTACAATTGGCTACAGCTACCTAATCTGGTGCTGACCAAAACCTCGCCCTGTTGGATGGTTGGATACCTTTCAGAGGATCCGTTTGCAATGGATTATGCACGAGTGCCTTTACCGGGACCGGCAAAGGCACAGGGATATATATATGGCCCAGTCACGACTCTGACACAGGGAGTGGTGAGGCATTGTCTCTTATGTTATATTAGTTTAGGCCCTTGCCACCACTGCCTGCCCCTCCGCCATGGGCTAGAGCTGTTCTGCGAGCTTGGCCCTGGTCGAAGGTTGCGCCGAGTGCCACCGGGTCCTCCAAGGTGTGAAACGTTAAGTAAGTGCCGCTTTTCATTCGACTTGGTGATTGGCAGCTAGCTAATATATATTAAGGAGTCTGAGTCGGAAGAGCTGCGTCAGCTCCGGTCTCCGAGAATGAAGATCTAGGCCTTCTAGGCCCGGACTGGCGAGATTGCGAGCTCGCTCGCCTGCGGCTCGTTTGGCCTACGTTCGTGTGGCCTCCTTCGCTGCCCAGCGCGCTCGTCAGGCCGCTAGAGAATGAGGACTTCTGCCAGTATTTAATTTCACGATGCTTCCTCTGCTTCATATCATGGTATCATGCTAGGAAGCGGCGTATCAAGGATGCCCATTGGCGGCTAGAAGTATTGACATGCCAGGGGCCGACTATACGGCCCTGGCCCTTCTTCCTTGACCTCAAGCCTCCCTTCAGCGTCTGCTTCTTGAGAGCTCTTACATTTAAAGTCCAAGAGAACAAGACTGTATGTTATGAGCCATATTCAGGTCCCGCGTCATATTCTAGGAAAAGGGAAAGCAACGGCTCCATTGCCTCTCTTCTATGCTTTAAACCGATGGTTTGATTGCACGGAGACGCCAGCATACGAACTCTCACATAACCACGGCTGCAGGTCTCGGAGTCGACAGAGCATCGAGAATCTCGTCAGAGCTGAGTTATGAGCCCGGAGGTAGTTAGGGAAGAAGATCGTGCTACGTATTTGCCCATCTCGAAGATCAGAAAAAGAGCCCCAGAGCTGGCGAGAGTCAAGAATTTCGTTCCTACGACGAGAGTGGCTCCTGTGACTCCCGCAACCCCTTATAGCTCCGGGGTCGCCTTTATCAACCGAATGCGCGACAGGCTCCCCGACAGACTTATCGAAGAAGAAAAATACGCATGCCAAGAATGGAATCACTCAACCGAGGGTGCAAGCGGACGTAAATAGTCCGTAATTAAAAGTTATGAATTGGCCTGACGAGGGGTTATCGAGAATCATATATATGCCACCTCAGCTGGACACCGTGGATATTGGCCGCAGCAAGCCAGCCTACAGCGTATAGCTATATAAACGAGATGAACTCGGAAGCAAACCTCCAAGAGCATATTGTGGCCGCCTCTTACGGGGTATATACACCCTCTCTGCGCCTGGGGCGAAAGCGCCTCGAGATAGGGTATTATCCACCATTGATTGGTCTCCAACTTATACGGTGCTCTTCGAAGCAAGGACTGATGGCCACCTAAGGTGGTGATCTCATTCAGCTAGCGCTATCACTCTACTATCCAGCCTAGAGACGCTCTGGGCGGTCTACGTTACATCAACATCTGGTTCGAAGCTGCACCAGTGACAGTTCGCACTTCATGCTGTGCTAGGAAGGGTATATCTGACCTGTCGGCCGTTGATAAAGTTAACTATCTCAACATCCATGCACGGTGTAGCCGAAGAAGCTGATATGGCCACGTCACAGCGGCGTTCCAACCTTCAATAAGCCCAGTGTGTTAATATCAGCCGTATTTATTGCGGAACGGCCTGCATTTCCTTTATCATACATCTGTCGTCCAGGGGAATCAACCCTAAAGCACTCGCATCAAGTCAGAGCACATACCGACGGTATTTTTAAAGATATGCCAACTATGAAGCCGCAGCAGAAGGAAATGAATCATGATGATTGCCTACGAAGGAATGAAAGCAGTCAATTGGTGATGAAGATGAGCTTGCTAAGGACGTGTGTATGTACATGAGAAATCTCTGATGATATGGAGGCCACAAGCTGACTAGTTAAGCTCCCTGCATCTGACAAGATATCACCACACCCGATATCGACGATATTGATTTCCATGATGTTTGCGCCATAACAAAGAGCTGGCATTCTTTAGAACAATTGTGATTACAGAGCCCCGATATTGCTCTGGACTCATGCTGGAACAACCCCTAATCGTTACAGTCCACGTACCCTCGTCGGTTTTATTCACTCCTGAAAACCATACAAGAGATTGTCAGCTGCTTCGACAGTGCAGACCCAGTCCAATATCCTCCCCTTGGGAATACTCCCACCGGATACACATGCCATCGCTACGTCTACTGGGCTTTCTATTCAACACGTATCTACTATTTACGATCGCTTGTTTGGCAACCTCGAGAAAAAGCAAGAAATTATCTTCGGAGGAAGAGTGACAGGATTGGATGGAATGCCGTTCTGATATACAGAGATTCAAGACAGTTCAGTCACATCTCGTTTCTTGCAAACACAATGCAGACAAAAGCGAATCAAGACCTGAGAAATCTTTCCGATATCCAATATCCTAATTGCAAAAAATGTTGTTGCTCCTTCAACTGGATATTGCACTTTTTTGACATAAATTTTGGACATCTCAATATTGCGCCACCTATTCTTGATGTCATGTCTATCTGGAGGAAATATCACCTCCTACAAAATACTGTTGGGAGAGAGTTCAAAGGAATATGGATCATAGGTAGTCAGTGAACAAACTACACGAAAAATGGAGCGCCAGAAGGCGAACATGAAGACGAGAACTTACGAAACAAAACAGCAAAGTTGGAATCGTTATTGCGGATGTATGAGAGTCGCTTACTCTTATTTATCCCTTCCAGTCATTCTTCTCTGCTACAGAGAGTGTCGAATATGCCATTTAAGCAAAATATGCGCCCGTTCTGATGCAGACAGTATCTTTACTGGCCTCCGTTGGCAGTTAACTATTCTCATATCGACATCTCGAAAGACTTGTTATCAACTTGTCATTATACGGTGCAACTCTCGTATGAAGATGCCAATGTGTCTGTTAGTCCACTATTACCGCCAACTTCAAGACACGATAATTGCAAGCCTTTTTCAACATACAACTACCTTGATAGAAGAACTTAGTTACCTTGCGGGCTAGGTAGTTAACTATAAAAGGGAGATCCACCCGGTCATAAATTTTTGTCAACTTCTGCTATGCCCTATTCCAGTTAGCATCCGGCTAACAGGGAAGAAATGTATGCTTTGGTTTTGTCAAGCGGCAGAGATACTGGTTATTCTCGTCCTCGTCTACGTCGACGTCTGTCGCCTATTGAACCGACTACGGAGACCACGTCGTCGGAGGCTATGCTCGTCCTTCGGCGGATTTGGACACGAGGGAAAGAGAGAGGTATCCATTCGCAGATAACTTGAGAGGGTTATATTCTCGAAACATCCCGTTTATTCAAGTTCTACTGGAGACGCTCGATACTCGATGAAATCTTGCCTCGCTACCCGTCTGGATCGAGAATACCTGTTTCAAACATGTGCTGCCGCTGGACATTTGTCGAAGAAATAACTTCATCCTGCTGACCACTAGTGTGGGCTCACTCTTTTGGCTCAACCGTTTTGATACATAGCCTTAACCACAGCAATGCTTATAGAGCCCGATACTTACATGCTGGAGAGAATTTACCTATAGATAAAGAAGCAACAAGCCCATGGGCCATAGGAAACCAACGAACCTGACAGAATGAGGCTGTCTACTCCACCCCAAGCTCAGCTTGGTAGCCGCTATATGCCACATCATACTATGCATTTCCACCGTGGGTGAAAAGATGGAAGTGTGTGCGGGAATAAAGACCTCCTCCACGCAGGACATGAATACCGGATGCGCCCGTTAAAGATTATCATGTCTGATAACGACTATTATGAAGAAATTCAGCCGGAATTACATGTTTAGACCAGTTATTTCCGGTAATCCGTACCTCGCGGGCTACGATACAAGGATGTTATGAGCTGCTCTGGTTACTGCGTCACATTTTCGACGAAGAATATCAATAAGCCTCGCACTGGTTCGCCACAAATTCTCTCTATGGAAGAGTGCGGGCATATGTTATATCAATCATTGCAATGAAAAGAGAAATATCCTACCTACCCAGATGGCCTCACTCCTCTGAAGTTCTACATCGGGCTGTCAATCTGCAGCGAGCTTCCATATCAGGCTCCTGCTCCTGCTCCTGCTCGGTTAGTGCTCTGGGGTGTTTCCAGAAAACAATAGGGGGTAAAGGTCAAATATCAAATAGATTTTTCTACAGGAGCTGTTACTCACAGATCATTGTGCCATCGAAGACTTCCATAGCCTTCCTGAGAGAATATACAGCTACCACTATCGCTGTAGCCTCGCAAGGAGTGACAAAGGGAATGTTGGCGGAAGCTTTGGCTCTCTCGAATGCGAATTTGCATATCTAAATTTTTCAGAAAAGTCGGCTAGCTACACTATTGAGACAAATTCGAGAAACAGTACATAATAATTGAGCCCAAATTTGTTACCGGAGCCGGGGAAAATGGGATACCAGACACCATGAGACCGAGGACTGGGCTCGAACATCTATACCAGACCGGCGATGATGGCTGGAGTGTATTTTCTCTCCATCTACAAGAGGAACTTACTTCTGAACGGAATCTTCGTCGTCTGCTGTTTCTTCCCCCTTTATCTCTGGGGTGGATGACTCGTCTCAGGCGGACGATTATCTTGCCCTTCGCAGATACATTCTTTGGCAACTTATTCGCCATGTGCCGAATGCAAAAGTAACAATATATGTGGGCCCTGCCAAACGGTACTTCTTACCATTTTTCAGCCGAAATTTCCTATGCGGACTGGAGGGCAATCCTTGCTGTTCTTCCTACAATGAAGATACTTCCCCCAGATGAGATTGCTGGTTCCCGAATTTCAAGCCATGCAGGAATTTTGAGGCAGTTGAGGTAGAGGCGACACAATCGAAACGGTTGAAGATGCTTTCACAATTCAATAAGTTGTTATGTTTATTATTTACATAGTCCGAAAAGAATAAAAAAAAATAATAACAATCTACATGTTATCGTAGCAAACCATAAGATAGCCAGTCGTTGTAGTACCTTAGTTGTAAACATCGTGGCATGGCCGATATCCTCTACTGGCAAGTATATATATATATATATCTGCGGTTTGGTAATATCGTAGCCGTGTTGTAGCTTGATTATCAATTCATTAGATATATCTGTGAGCACAGTCTAAACTATAATCAAACGATGATCCGCCTATTCCATGCTGAATGCTACTCCGTACTCAAGAGGTCTAGATGAGAATTCATATTAAACAGCATATCTACACCTCCTCCGAAGACTCAGCAGTGCGCTTTCCATCAAATACTGAAAACGTCGCAAAGGCGAGGAGTAGAGATAGAATGCCTACAGAGGTATTAGTAAAGAGGCTGGTAAGGATTTGACAAAGGTATACTCACAGAATACAAAATTCATATAGTAGTAGCCTACCAGCTCGGTCAAGGAGCCCGCCAGAATAGGCCCGATGATCAATCCAAGACTGAAAGCTACCTCTGTCATGGAGGAGATTCTAGAATTACCGCCATGCTCCCCGAATATCTTCGGATTTTTAGTCTGCATCTCATTCACCGCAACTAGGGGTAAAGGATCGTTAGTAATGTGAAGAAATACGGTGCCAGGGGGGGTTTTTGTCCACGTACTAGTCATCTGGACAACACCGGCTCCGCGGATCAATGTATAGACAATTCCGACTCCTGTGATTGCAGACACAAATATGGCCTGGCCATTATTATCGGCGCCGGCCCAGGGGAAATGACTGTCCCCAGGAACACCCATGAGCCATAGCAGCGGGGCCTGAAGTGCCCAACCTATAGCCGTAGGGTTTTTGAGTCCTACCCGGTCACGAAGCCAGCCAACCGGAGCACCAAGGAACATACTAGGTATCTGCATGGCAAGGAACATCATTCCAACGGGCAAACTGCCCCAGTTGAATATCCTGCTTAGATGAAGCGGTAGGGTCGCGTTAAATCCAGCTACGACGGAAGATGCGCATATAACGCTCGACAGGCCTACCACTACTCGGATATCACTCAGAGCCGTGACGTAAAAATTACGGGATGATACTGGTTCTTCTGCAGCAGCTTTAGGTTGTGCATCGGTACCAGGCGCTTCGTTGCTGTTTTCGCTTGACTGAAGCAAGGGAGTTTCTTCATTAGCTGGGGTATCGGCCGGATGATTCTGTGCCGAGTCATGGTATCCGTCAGGCTGGTTTTTTCCTTCAATCATGAGCAGACGGGCTACAATATCGAGGAAAATGACGATAAGAGGAACGGACCAAGCAGCCCAGTAGCCCACGAGTTCCAACAGGGAGCCAGCAATCACCGGTCCGAATATGATGCCGGCCATGACAAAGGACATCGAGAGACCCATGGTCTTCCCTATGTTGTCCATTCCAACATTATCCACCATTGTAGCGAACCCAACAATCCATGTGGCAGAGCCGGCAATTCCCTGTAGGATTCTTCCTACAAAAAGCCCCCAGACTAAAAACTCACTCATGTTAGCAACATGATCTCTCTCAGGATGCATTTAATAATTAGGCTTACCGGAAGGGGAACAGGCAACCAGTATCGTCCCAACGGCGCATGCTACCAAAGCTATCAATAGCGGCGTCCTCCTATTTGGCGTCTTATCTGCAAAATGGGCAATAATGGGTGCCGCGACCAAAGTCATGAAGCCATGGATGGCGAGGAGGGACGAGGTGAGACTCTGTGTTTGCGACGGGTCGACATGCAGACGGACCTCAAGCATGTAGCCCAGGATAGGGACGATGAAGCCATAAAGAAAAGTTTCTGCAGAGGATAACAACACACAACGTCAGAAACAAATCAAGCTTAGCCGCGGCAAATAAGGGAATAGCCAATTACATACCAGCGAACAAGGCCAGAACTACGATGGACAGGATAAAGGGCTTGGAGGACCGCCATCGGTAGCCCCAGGGCTTCTGGCAGTCCATCGCCATCACGCCAACTCGGCCACGGACACAAGGGGATCCAGTTCTCGTCCGAGCAGACGTGCAGGATGTCGGATACACGGCGTCTATTTTATTAAACGTTTGAAGGGGGAGAGAAAATTTTGAGATATCGCCGAAAACCAGCAGCAAAAAGCAACGAAGGATCTACAAGGGTCTCCGGATATGATGACCAAGGGTTATGATCGTCTCTCATTGCTCGTATCAAGAATAGCGAGGAAGAAAAGGAGATGGAGGGGTTATCCGTTCGACATCGAGCAGAGTCGATATTGGTCAATGCATCCGGGAAACACACCCCTCTGTTGGTGATCGATATAACCTCGGTAGCCGCAGTAATCTTACGTGCGTTGACGGGTCTGCGGCCTCTGCGTCTCCACGAACTAGGTTACACCATTCCCGGAACCGTGGATACGGGTGACAGCTCATCTTTCGTCTTTGGTCATATTGCATTTTATGAGCAGGGAAAAGGCTGCGACTCAGGGCTGCACGGATGCAAGGGAGACAAGGGTCCAGGAGGGCGGCGATTGAAGGCGGCGATTGCGGCCGACACGGCGGGGCGAATCCGTCTGGAAAGGGTCAAAGCGACAGAGCACTGTCCTGATATGCACTGGTACTGAGCATATGAGCCAAATTAACCCTCCATGGCCGCATGGCCGAAGAATCAACCAGCCGTTGTTGACTTGACTTCGACTTGACTTCGACTTCAATTTTCAAAAAAGAAAAAAGAAATAAACAAGAGGATGATGAGTAAGCTTATTGATGACTAATCACTTCAAACGGGATGGCTTCACTTTTATCCGCAACCCTATTTTGACGTCATCAAATCTACTTACATCAACGAACGACGTTACAACATCGACAGTTCAAAGATGAAAAGACCATTTGGGCGGCTTTGGATACTTGAGTGTATATATATATATATAACACTAAGGTGGTTGGCGTCCTGAATATATACCCAATATATACCCTATGAAGTGGGAGATACCAGATACGCCCAATGCAAAGCCCATACAAAATCAAATTCAGTATTCGCGAGCGCAGTCTGCTGTTAATAAGCCGACGTCAACGATCTACGCCTCTCGCCGCTGCTAAAGCCACATAATAATCTAATATACTATCAGAGTTGACCAGTTGGGACGGTTTTCTGTTCAACCAGCTCTTTTTTCCCTATGACGCTCCATGACGGAAGCATCCGAACCACGGACCACACTGCTGGCTCCCATGGTTCAGAGGTCAATATTTATGGTACTCAAATGGGAATTTGATAATAACTACTAGACTCGGCAAGTTTGCTGACGTCTACATCTTCTGACGTAGTGTGGTGTCGTTGTCGTCACAGATGTGGTTTTTGTCTATTTAAGCGCTTCCCTCCGCGTCCTAATCCCTTTTTCCTTTTCCCTTCTTCTTCTTCCTTTTCTCTCTTCTATTTTCCATTATGTGTGCGTGCTTTATACCACTAAGAGTTGCTGGCTTCATCAGTTGCTATTTATTAATTAATGCTTACTTCTAGCGAGCAGGCGTTTTGGTGTCTATGAATCATCGCGCCTTCTTTTTACTTTATTTCAAATATTGCTTCCAGTTTCTTTTTTCTTTTTTTCTCCTAATTTATTTTAAAGAATCTCACTCCCTTAGCATCATATCCATCTCTTATACTACCCTTGGTCAGGATATTCCTGTCATCAAAATGGCGCAACCCTCAGCAGAAAGCCCAGCAGTGCTCACGGCCTCGGAAGAGAGCCTGCCACTGTGTATCCTACCCGAACTTGGCAAACTCAGGATGTCCAAAATGTTCTATCGGCAGAAGGAATATACACTTACGACGCTGCCTCTGGATATCATCCTTTTGATTGCTGACCACTTGCACTCTGTCGATCGCACCATGCTCTGGCTGACATGCAAAACCTTCCATGACTCTATACCCATGAAAGGTTACCATCCCATCGCCTGTCCCTCTGCGCGTGTCAGGGCCATGCGCCTGTTATACGACTCTCCTCTCCTTCCCTACTTTGGGCACAACAGCAAGTTCCTATGTATGACGAGAAGCAGACGGAATGTCAGAAAGGCAATAGAAAAGATTCAGAAGTGCAACTTCTGCAACTTCTACTCAAAAATGGGGAAAAATCTACAATGCCCGTTTCACCCACCAATTGACAAGGGCCTGTATTCGTTTCCCCATTTTCGCTCACTCACTCATGAGGAGCGGGTAATGCGTAAACTGACGAGTAGCAGCTCTCTAACCCTGCAATCATACATCAAGGGTTGTCTACCGAGAGTGTTGGACAAGCTAGGGTCTTCCAGCGTCAGTTGTCAGAAGGCTGGCTTTCCAGTATCATGGGACAAGGAGTTAGGGAACATGGAGGAGCTTTTCAACTCACAGGTCCGTGAACGCCAACAAATGCTCGGTATCGCAAGGAGTTCTCACCATCATGAACCCACCAAATGGATAAATGAGAACTGGCGCATCAGCTTCGCAGACTTCAATATCTGGGTGTTCCTCCTTTGCAATCACTGCATGAACATTTTGCCAAGTAATTCACCGATGCGTGGCGCCTGTACCTTCTGCGGCTGTTCTGATTGTGGCATGTCTAAGCCGAAGCTCCTTCGAGTTTGTGAGCCTGGAGAACGTCCACGCTTCGTTATACTAGGTCAAATCGCTTTCTTCCCGCGGAAATAAACTGGGCTGATGTGAGCATATTCTGGAAACATTGGCAGGATCTTGGTGGAACGGACTGGTGTTTGGCGTCTTGGTTTGAGGTATATTTTTCCTTTACTCATCTCCTCATGTTCGTACGTAGAGAATTTAAGCATACCATTGATACATTCATGCGCCATGTTAGCAATTCTACTTCTCTTGTCAACTACGCTGCACTAATAGTGATGTTTACTTCCAATACTATTATATGAAATTGTCTGTCATGTACAACAGGTGAATATATTTGCAAAGTAACGCTGTCATCAAAGGAATGTAAAAAAGTATAGCCATAGCCACATATCTCATCTGACCTTTCCACCACATCAAATCGAGAAATTATCCCAAAATTACATCCTCTCCATCTAAATTCTTAGCTGATATCACAGTCCATCATTCCAAACTCTCGTCGTCGAAGCGTCAAACGTGAGTTTTCTCGCTACAGAAGCAATTTAAACCTTGCACTGGTTGTAAAGAGGGACCTCAGAGCACAAAGCTGGTGGTGGCAGGGTCCAGTCGTTGCAGAGGGTGTTGCAAGCAGTGTTCTCTGGCACGAAAACGAGGAACTCGTAGTTCTTGAATGGCAGACGGAACTGCTTGGTGATGTCGTTGTTGTGAGGGCTCGCCTTGTAGCCAGCACGGCAGGCGCAGTGGAAGGTAGATCCGGTGTTGATGCAAGAGGTGGTGATGTCACAGAAGTTCTTGCCAGAGACTGGGTTGCAGGTACCACAGACTGGAGGAGAGTTGCGGTTGGCAAGGCTCTGGGGGAGGGCGGCAGCCATAAGGGAGGTGCTGGCCAAGAGGATGGAGGCAGTGGTGAAAAGGTTGAACTGCATCTTGATAGATTGGTTGTTTATTTGATTGATTTGATCAATTTGTTGCTTGATTGAACTTTTGGCTTCGATGTGTTTGTTGCTTGAGTGCTGGATGATATCTCTCAGATATGGGGAGCTCGATGCTGCCTTTTATATCTTTCCATGAGCACTCTTTTGCTCAGCCCCATGGGAGAGCTTAGGGAGGTTACCTGGGAGCTGTCTCACCTCAGCAGCCGGTATTTGCCCCATAGTCAATGCTACCTTGCGGGGCCCAAGGGGGGGTGGAAGGTATCTAGCTAGCTTGGTAGGTTTTACTTCCATGAGTGGCTGTCGGATCTCATGGCGAGGCAATGTCCCGAAGGTGCCTAATCCTTCCTCGTTCAAGAAGCCATGTAGGTCGTATAAACTAGCGTTTTGTGCCTTTGTTGAAGAAAAAAAAAAAAAAGCACGCCTAAATATGAACCACGTTCACTCCTGATACGGAAATGATCCCACATTGCAAGAGCTGGCGAAGGATGCAGCTGCAGAGGAACCGCTCCTTCATAGGTCTGAGAGCTAACAGAAAACAGCGGTAAATAGTCAGATTATCCATTGATGTTTTGGTGAAGCTATTATTAGCAACACTAGGCAAATAGAATTAGCCAAGTTCAGGAAGAGTCTTGTCAAGCCGTTGCCTTAAAGAAGAATGGTTGATAGGGTTTCCGGCTTGAAATTAGAATTGAAAGTTCTCGTCCTGCCTCGACCTTGGTATCCTGCAAAACCATCCCCCAAAGCAGAGTTTGGCTTGCTGAAGATCAGGCCCATTCTGATATCACCATCGAACGAATCTAGAAATTGGATGGACATGATCAACACAGACAAAACCGTGTTATTCATTTTATCTCGCATATAAAGAATATCTCAACCATGGATGATTGAAGAGGCTTAAAATCACTTGTCTTAGCCTCCATCTAGGCCAGCATTCTCGCTGGGGTTGTGATACGTGAGAATCCGGTTTCATCCCTAAAGCACAGTCGATGCCAGGGAGCATCCTTGCGCCCACATGGGTATAGAATATCTTTATCTGAACGATCTAGAATCCCAAGCCTGCCAAATGCAAACGAAGTTTGCCATTGGTGCCAGCAAACGTTCAACAGCTTTGGATCTGGCTGCACTGCGCTGCGTAGGCGAGAGTCAATCATGCCGATAATGCCGTATAACATGCAGCCCAATGTCTAGCTGGCTGTGTCAATGGCCAGAGAGTTAGAATCATACGACTGTAGCTTCGGTTTCTTCTTCTAGGCCATCATAGTCAGATATCTGAATGGTCACCGACCCGAGCGCTGCAAACGCCTTTTCTCGTTTGACCCAAATGCTAATGGCGAACCTGCCAGCTCGTCAGCTCCTCATTCGCCGAGTTTCGTATAGCAGAGCTCCTGGGGGCAGGGGAAACTTATGGCGCTGAGACATCTCGCTTGTTCGAGCGTATTACCTGCCTGGCGAGGTGAAAAGAAAGTTGGGACGATGAAGTCATCGCAAGCGAAGATTCGGGACAAGTTCAGCCTTAGCGTGCATCGACACTCTGGGGTAACCAACCCTGTTCCCAGCTCTGCTCACTGTTGTGACATATCCATTAGGTAGTTATAAGGATCGTGTTATGTTTCGGGTAGTGCTATGAATAGGCATAATGTTCAGCCCTCGCTAGGGATTCAGCTTAGAAGCGTGTTGTGATGTTTAACTGCGATCAACCTAGCGGCTTCAACGGTTTCTTTGGCTCCATGGAAGCTCGTATAGGGGAATGGGCAAACAAGCAGCTAGCATACCATGCATGTAAGACATCGGTATTAGCTCGCGATGCAAGAGGGTGCTGTAGGACACTCCGTATTGGGTAGAGAAGGCCCTTGATCCCTGGACGTTGCATTGTAGAGAACCATTCTTTACTGCTTCATCGGAAAGAAAGGAATTTAGTCAAGGACGCACTTGAGAAGAATTGAAAGCTTGGGCTCATTAAAAGGACTAGATTTATCGAACCATACGCTATTGTTTTGAAAATTCGTTATAATTTATATGAAATCCTACAAATCCATTGCATCGCCATCCCCGGCTTCAATGAAGACAAGCCGAGTGCCGTTTCCACTGACTTGCCAGACCTGTAGGAAATATACACGTTAATAAGGAGGGTACAAAGCCGGAGGATAAATGTTGCACTTACACTAAGTTCTGCGTATTCATCAATTGCCTGGCTAAGTTGGTCATCTGTAAATCCTTTCGCGACAACTCGTTCCCGAATCCTCTTCATGCTGAGAGTTCCTTCATCTTCGTCACCGATAGCAGCCGCACCACTCTCCCTCATGGCGCAAATGAGGTTGTAAATTTTGCTGGTAGGGCTGTGATCTATGCCCGTTTGTGAGTCCTGGTGTAAGCTGGATTTACTAACTTCGATCAGCCGGAGGGCCTCATCGATATCCTCAGTGACAACACGCTCGCTGAATCGGAGTCGGGCCAGAGCCTGAGAAAGGCGAAGGACGCCCAGCAAGGTTCGCGGCGTGACGTGAGTGAATTGTTTTTTGCTTCCTTCTTCTTGCTTTTGCTGTTTGCGCATACGGACATATGCACCCACCATATAATCTGAGACACTCTTCGGTACCACAGGGCGGAATGTTCGCGCTTTGGCGATATACTGTCGTACTTCGGCAGGAGTGAAGACTACTTCATCGGCACTGGTCTCAGGGTGTTTGTTGTGCATATGTACATAGGCAACATGGCTGGCGAGTTCTTCGTCAGCATCACGGGAGGGGGTGTCCAGCATGAGAAACAGAATATCAAAACGAGACAGAAGTGCGGCGGGGAGGTTGATGTTCTCAACAGGTGATACTCGGGGATTATACCGTCCGTACAGCGGATTGGCAGCTGCAAGAATGGAGGTGCGAGCATTGAGGGTGGTTGAGATTCCGGCTTTAGATATCGAGATTGTTTGTTGTTCCATAACTTCGTGAATAGCAGTCCTATCTCCGTCATCCATCTTGTCAAATTCATCGATGCAGCAGATACCGTTATCTGCGAGAACAAGGGCGCCGCCCTCAAGAACCATTTCATCTGTGACAGGGTCACGCATCACTGCTGCTGTCAGACCAACTCCACTGCTTCCTCGTCCAGTGGTGTAAATGGCACGAGGAGCTACCTTGGTGATATATTTCAAAAGTTGGGATTTCGCAACTCCAGGGTCACCCATCAGGCAGATGTTTATATCACCACGAATCCGCATTCCGTCTCCCATTTCCTTTGTCACACCACCGATTAGAAGAAGTAGCAGGGCCTTCTTAACGTCGAGATGGCCATAAATTTCCGGAGCTATCGAACGTGACAAGTACTCATACATGTTACCCGAGCTCGCATGTCTAGTAATTTTTCTCAGGGTTACTGGGTCCATGACAAGGTGATCGTAGGCCTTTTTATGTTGTGTAACATGTTGGGCTTCGAGATAGGTATCAGTGAGAAGACCGGCTTTGATGGCCCGGAAACCTGTGTAAGGGGTGGGAAGGAAAATTCCGGCAATATCAACATTGTCTCCTGGGCTCAACTGTCGGACTAGGCTACCCATCAGGTGTACTGTCAGTGTGCGAGGGATGTGTCCAATAGGTACTTGGTCTGCCATCTCCTGTATCTTGGCCTCCTGAAACGGAACAAACTTTGAGGCTCGGGTGGAAAGAAACAGCTGGCCCTTGCTATTGTTCTTTTTGCATTCTTCCGACAGACATTCCGTTAGTGGGAGAAACTGTTTGGTGGTGATCGGCTGAAATACTTCAGAGCCACAACGGTCACAGCTATATGCGTTGATCTTGACGGAGGGTTTGACATCGGAAACTCTGGTAGTGATGCCACGAACTGTAATTAGTTTTCCAAGCTGTGCTCCACGAACATCTCTGACTGCAAAAGCCTTTGCTTTCGGGTTACTGCTTGATCCAGAGGGAGTGATTGGTTTGATGTTAAGTGTGTATCTCCTGATAAGCTCTGGCGGGAATATGGCTGGCTGCATATCGGCATCTGGGTCCGCTTCTAAAGCCAGGTCCAGAGTTTCGTTCCGTCGTCCACGCTGAGAAACTAAAACATCAATCACATCATCCTTAAATCTAAAAACATAAGTCAATATGAGCTCATGTGCCTCTAGCGCCATAAGGGTGTCTGTACTAACGTTACTTCTGAGCTTTCCTTGGGCATTATGTCATCGATTGCTTCCGAAATCACATCAATGTATCGCTTCGCATTATTTGTAATTCGTTCCGCAAGGTCTGAATGTGGCCCTTCGGGTGCAGATTTCATGAACTGGTAAAAGCCACATCGATTAGCCTTCCAACACTTAAACGACGGGTATAAACACCATCTCCTGGGGCTGACTGTACTTTATCCAAGTCGTCCAACTCTATGACGATGTGATTCTTCCTTCTGTCTGCGATCTCTTGCAATAGCGCCATATATTTAAGCTTCGGTTCACGTCGCTCTCCTGTTGTTCGCCCATTCTCTTCACCGTCCTCGTCCATTTCATCCAGGGCGTCAAGATCATCTTCATCAATGTTGAGGCCTGAAATCGCTTCTGTCGCAGATGTCTCCGAAGCAGACTGGCTGGACTTGAAGTTTTGAAGAAACTCTTTGAGCACGTTCTTTTCCTCCTCGTAGTTGATTTGGAGGCGGAGGGGGAAGAGCGCCATTTTCGCACGCGTTCAGGGCAGCTGTCTATAGGGAAGTTCACGCAGGGATACCGAAGGGAAGAGTGCAATCAAAAGTAAAACAAAACAAATCGTAACGAGAGTGCGCTGCCAATTGCTGTACTGGCTGCAACCTTCAAGCAACGACTTTGCGACTTTGCGGTTTTTGATGCTTGAAATCGCGAAGTTCGATAAACTCAAACTAACTCAAAGTTAAGCGCGCGGGAACGCGAGCCAGAAACGCGACGCGTTAATATGGCCAAACCAGGATTAGCGTTACTGACAAGCAAATGACTTAGCCGGCGTGGAGAAACGCTCGGTCCGAGGCGTCGGCCTTTCGGAGTCGGAAAATCTATTTTTGCTCGGGATCACGGGTTTCCCGCGTGCTCAGAAAGTAAAAAGAAAGCTGGAGAAAGCCGCAAAAGCTCGCCGTCGCGCCGAAAGATAGCAGATACACGGACTGACGGACTGGCAGACGAGGGAGAAGGATGCATTGCGGTTTCTGGCCTGTTTGATGATACCACGTTTTGCGCAGCTCCTTATCTGTCCCAGGCTGTCTGGTTCTTTTGTGTTGTTTTCTCAGTTTCTTCTACAGTTATGGCTCCCAGCAAGAGGACCCCAACTTTGGCGGAGATTGCGCTGGTACCCCTGAAGAGCTGCCTGGTCAACTTGCCCTCACCACTGGTTTCGTTGCTTGTCAATGCAAATACCGTAAGTGAAATGGAATTCTATGGCTTACGATGGATCGCTAATTATTGTGAATTAGCCTGCGCAAAACGTTATTGTCGAGCTACAACACCGCGGTAAACCTACATCCACCTCCGATTCTGGGAAGAATGGACAGCCAGTGCAGAGGTCAACGCATGTTGGTTGGACGGGTATGCCTAGCAAGAGGAAGCTGGCACCAGTTGTGACACGGGACGGTATCAATGGCACAAGGGGGCAGCCAAAGGACCAGGATGTGGCCGTGTTGGAAATTGATTCAACCTTTGGAAGGGTACTGGGCTTGAGTGACGGACAAAAGGTATACAGATATCCCGTGTTCCCTCTCATTGTTGGAGGTATAAGGGTTTCCATTGACGTCAATCTTTAGGTTGGTGTGCTTCTACACTTGGATCCGCCGGTTGCCCATACAGTCAACATCGAACCATTGACCCCAGCGGACTGGGAGAGTATGTAATTAATAATGTGGAATACGTGGGTATCTTATACTGACCATTCTTGTCCACAGTCATCGAACTACATGCCAATTTCCTGGAGCTTAATCTCCTTTCTCAAATCAGGGCGCTTCCCAACCCTGCTTATACACCCTCTGCCGAACAAGCAGAACACACACATCCGCTCACTTTACACCTGTCACCTACTTCCACCGCGAATATAACCGTCACATCGCTGACTCCACCAGCTCCATCATCATCTCCTTTTGCCAAAATTTCACCCGATGCAGAAGTCATTGTTGCACCCAAGGTCCGCCCGAAAACCGGAAGGTCATCTCAGAGTGGAAATCGGAGTACTGCCAGCACCGGCCGCAGAAGCCAGGGAGCAAGAAGTGTCAGCAGCATTCAGAGGCCCCGAAGTAGTCAGTCAGAGTCGTCATCACGAGGCGCACTTTTCTTGCGGGCAGTAGACCGGAAAGCCGCCGTCAACTGGTTTGACGAGGATGCCGAGGCAGAGAAGGATGAAGGGCTAAAGGTGTGGATTGATCGCGATGTTTTGTCAAAGAACGAGCTACGAGGGGTTTCCTGGGCTTGTGTGTCAATTGTACGACCAGCTGCACTACAGGCACCCGTTGATCCACAGCAACAGGCTCAGCAGAAGGAGCTGATTTCGCCTGAGGCTGGAAGCATCTCACGGAAACTTGTAGCCAGACTTCTCCCCTGGGATGAGAACCCTGATACCGAGCATATCGCTTTGTCTTCGCTCTTATGTTCTGCCTTGGAGTTTGACGGCATCGTCGGCGGCATCGTCCGCGTAGAAGCTGCTCCACCTCCAATTCAAAAGCCAGCAGTGAAGACACTCAAAATCTTTCCTTTCGGCACAGATCTATCAAAAAAGAAAGAGGGCTTCAGGTTCGGTGGCGATTCAGCCAGTGCTCGGGATGCATTTGTTGAACGTTTGAAGATGGTATACGGGAGTCCCGGGTCTGATAAGGGCATTTTGAGCGGCCCAATTACAGATGGAATGTTCCTCCCAAAGCTAGACGATCAAATGAGAACGCTAGATTTTGACGGAGGGATGATCAAGTTTGACCCTCTAGTAGATGGAAACTCGGTCGATGCTAAACCAGCGTTTGGCTGGATGCTTGGATCCGAAGGCAAAATCGCCATTGAAGTGCAGGCAGCAATACCCAAGCCGCCAGAATTCTCATTCCAACCTATACCGGCTGACGAAGTTTTGCCTTCTGAGATTCCCAAGCTAGTAGGTATCAAACCTGTTATCACAAACTGCATGTCAAACCTCACTCGGTCTTCATCGATTCTTCTCACCGGTGGACTAGGATCAGGCAAGACATCTCTTGCCTATCTACTTGCTCACCAATTGCGAGAAGATTACTTGTTTAATGTTACCTATTTCCCCTGTCGAAAACTGCTCAATGATGAGACCCGCATCTCCTCAATCAAAGAAACCTTGCGGCGGCTTTTCCTTTCTGCTTCCTGGTGTGCGAGACTCGGTGGGAACTCGGTTGTCATATTAGACGATCTGGACAAACTGTGCCCTGTCGAGACGGAACTCCAAGTCGGCGGTGAGAACGGCCGAAGCCGCCAAATCAGTGAGATTGTCTGCTCTACTGTCCGGGAATTCTGCTCTGCTTCGTCACCAGTGGTGTTGCTGGCAACTGCACAGGCGAAAGAATCCTTAAACAACGTTATAATCGGAGGCCATGTTGTTCGAGAAATCATCAGCTTAAAGTCGCCCAACAAAGACGGGCGAAGATTAATTCTAGAGCAGCTGACGAAGGAGGATAAAACTTCTAACCTACAGGGGGAAGTGAATGGCCATGCTCGCAACCCTAGCTCTTCATCCCAGGATTCCTGGCTCAACCCATCAAATCCTACATCACGACCAGGGTCGTCTGATCATTCTGATGGGTTCGTTTTGAGCAGAGACCTTGACTTCCTCGACCTAGCAGGAAAAACAGATGGCTATATGCCTGGTGATTTAGTTCTACTGGTATCCCGCGCTAGGAATGAGGCATTGATAAGTGCCGTTCAAGATACTACATCCTCTTCAAGCGTTATCACTCTAGGTACAGGGGACTTTGACCGAGCATTAAAGGGATTCACTCCTGCGTCTCTTAGAAACGTTACCCTTACATCCTCTTCGACCACTTTCTCAGCAATCGGTGGCTTGCATAGCACAAGAAACACCCTACTTGAGACCCTACAATACCCCACAAAATATGCCCCGATTTTCTCCCAATGTCCGCTCCGACTCCGTTCTGGACTTTTACTGTATGGGTTCCCTGGATGTGGTAAAACGCTTCTTGCCAGCGCTGTTGCAGGAGAATGCGGCCTCAATTTTATCAGTGTGAAGGGCCCTGAGATCCTTAACAAGTATATCGGCGCCAGTGAAAAGAGCGTGCGTGATCTTTTCGAGAGAGCTGAAGCTGCACGGCCTTGCATTCTATTCTTTGACGAGTTTGACAGTATTGCACCGAAGCGTGGTCATGATTCCACCGGTGTGACAGACAGAGTCGTCAATCAGCTCTTGACACAGATGGACGGTGCCGAGGGCCTGTCAGGGGTATATGTTTTGGCGGCTACCTCCCGACCAGACTTGATTGACCCTGCCTTACTACGGCCTGGTCGTCTTGATAAGTCCTTGTTATGCGATATGCCCAACCACGCCGATCGCGTCGACATCATCCAAGCTCTGAGCGGTAAGCTGAAGCTCAGTGACGATGTGATGTCTCGGTTGTATGAAATTGCAGGCCGGACAGAAGGATACTCTGGTGCCGACCTTCAGGCCGTTGTATATAACGCCCACCTCGAAGCTATCCATGACGCTCTGGGAGACCGAACACCAGCTCCAGAAACCACAAAGTCCTCCAAGAAATCAAAATCTTCTTCATCCGCCGAAAACAGTGAAACGTCCTCGAAATCCTCTCAAGCCAATAGACCCTTCATTCAATTCCTATACGACTCGAAAGAACATACTCTCGCCACTACCTCAAAGGGCGTGAGGAATACCGCCCTAGACCCGCCAGCTGTCATTGCAGCTAAAATTGAAGAACTCAAGAAAGCCCGTCAACGCCAAAAGCAGGCACAACGCAATCCTATATCGGACCCAGCGTCAAAGATTGATGCGAATAATACTTCTGGCGATGCGGGACTAGACGATGACGATAAGGACTCAGATGAGATCAGCATTGAATGGACACATATTGAGCGGTCTCTTGCTACCACTCGCTGCTCCATTAGTGCAGTAGAAAGGAAGAGGTTAGAAAGTATATATCGCGAGTTCATAGTGGGCAGAAATGGGGAGATGCCTACTGGTGAAGGCGCAAGAGAAGTTGGAGGTCGAACGACATTGATGTAATTTTATATATATGAATATACCATTTTATCTATCCATCTTTTCTACTTGGTATTTTTTATCTCATTTGTTTATGAAATGCAAACCGTAGTCTTGTATAACCATTTACTAATAACTTCCCTAGGAAGCAATCGTTGACAGCTAAGGCAAAACCTACAGTCCTTTCATATCAGATTCCCCGGGGCCCAAAAGAAGTAGACGAGAAACACATGCTAAAATAATAGCAAACAATAAAGGTTGTCATAAACTAGTTCATTAAAGACTAAGAAGTATCTCAGGGGGTCGTTCTCGAGTTTGCGATTGCTACAACAAGGATATCAGTCGCACCAACAGCCGATAGGTCGTCCATGACGGTAGCAATCTGTTTCTTTTCTACCATGGCACTGACGGCAACCCAGCCCTCCTCTTCCAGAGCAGTAATTGTAGGAGCTCGTTTTCCGGGTGTTATGGCACAGGCATTGGACAAGATGTTACGAGGAATGTTATACTGGCAAAGCACATATTTTTTGGCAGCTAGAGGGACCCTTAGTATAAATTGTCGGGTTTAATGGAAGCTCCTGAGCAAACTTACTGATAACACCACGTATTCTCGGAACTATGAGATCCACTAGGGGATTAGTGGTCTTTCGGGATTTGACAAGGACGGCATTAGTGCAGAGCACTGTATCGATAGCCTGAAGTCCAGCAGCTTTCATCGTCTCTCCAGATTCTATAGTTTCAAGTTAGACAGATGAGCAATATGGGGGTTAGAACCGTGAAAACACACCAACAAGATCAATGATGCCATCAGCTACTCCCAGAGCACAGGCAGCCTCCACACTGCCGCCGACATACTTGATCTTAGTCTGTAGATCCCAGCTTCCGTCCGCTCTCCTACTAGCGCCCTCCAATTTGGCAAAGTAGGACTCTGCAAGGCCCGTGAAGCTAGTAACGACATTCTTTCCAATGAGCTCCTTAGGGTCAGTTATGAGGCCCTTCTCCGGAACTTGGACCTGTAGCTTGCATCCGCCAAAGCCAAGGTCCAGTATCTCCTCCACCCCAGACTGCTGGCCCGGTAGACGGATATCATGCTCAGCCACTTGATCTTGTCCGGTAATGCCTAGATCGACACGACCTTCACCGACGAAGGTGGGTATATCAGCTGCCGGCAAAAAGATAAGGGCCACTGGAAGGTTCTTGACAAGAGCTATATCCAAACGGTGCTCTCTGCGGAACTGAACATCTGATCCGTCCAGCAGATCAATTGTAGCCTGCTGCAGACGGCCCTCTACAGTGAATATATCGTGTTAATTGTGGTTGTCCTTGTGTTTCTATAGGGCGGGGAAGGGGGTGGACTTGCTCTTCGGCACTGCGAACAGTAGCCGGCCTTCTAGACTTTTTTCCCGGGTCAGCGCACCCGTCTGCCAATTTGTAGGGTCATGCATTGTCTAGTAACTAGTAATAGGAAGAGCTCACTGGTTTACCAAATCCATTTCCAACGGAGTCTTGAGAGAGAGACGAGCGTATCAGAGGAGGGGGGTGTGAGTCAACGGTGCACAGCTGGCAGCTGATATACTTAGATAACCTCCCCGAGTAAACCCCAGGATGCGGAGAAGCAGCAGTAAACGAAACGATAAGTAGTACAGGGCCCAGGCTCCCTTGGTTAACTGTTCAATATCTGAATAATGTGCAGTTTAGTTTTAAAGTCGCAAAATGAGTCTTTTGAATGGTGATATAGCTTGTCTGCTAGTTCGGGCCAATCGCGAACCCGGGAAGAAGTTCGGATCGTCTCTGATAAGGACTTCTGGATCACCCAATGACATGCAGACTGGAGACTCCCCGTTGGCTAAAGGACTCTCTGAACTCGAGCTTTTTTTAGACAGGAAAGCTTCTCTGCGCCACTTAATCTAGTTGATTTTACTCCTTGATTGCATTATTACGGATACTCCGTGGAAAGCTGGCTGTGGGAGAAGGTGTAGTAGACGCTGGCTATATTGCGCTAGATATATGGTAATATCGTTTATTCAAAACGCTGATAGATAAGTTTATGCAGGCGTACGAGCCCTTCCCTGCCAATGAGAAGTTATTTCGGACGGGGTGCCCTTGACAATATGCAATGATAACGATGCGCCTTGAGAAGTACCGCTCTCGATGTACACCACCATGACGACCTCTAAAACAGCCGTCGAGCATCCATGTTAGTCAAGACACACGCATGCCCCGGATCCTTCCCAGACTCCAGTCGGCTTTAAAATAAGTGCATGGGCTATTTCAGGCAGTCTGCATTGGTTTGACTGATGGCTGGCTGTAAATATGCTAGACAATTTCCATGGCTAGGAGAGATCACTCAGCCGGTCTTCGTAGGAGTTGAACGTCTCAGGCCTGTATATCAGAGGCACGGAGGCCATAACAAAGTGTCGTAGGCAGTCCTATCAGCGCCGTTAGCCGTGATTCAGCAAGGGAGCAAGTTATGGTTATCGGACGTCCTACGAAGTACGGTTAGTCCAGATCTCCCGTCCGTCGCAACCGGTCACTCCTATCATGGACGTTTTCCATCTCGCCGGCCGCCTCAGGTAACAAATAGGAGGATCCTTCTCAGATGAAAATCCCAACGTCACCAGCAACCGTCTCATCCTTCATTTCCATCGTCATCTTCATCTTTCATTGCGGTCGAGAAGTCCTTCCTAAGGACTACTGGCCTAGGGCTTAGGGCTATGTCCGTATCAGGCTAGCGCCCTTTTCCGGGTAAACCTTCCGCCGACGCTCACCGCCAAGCCCGATCTGGCGGGCCGCGGGTCGGCAGAAACTGCTTCCCACAAACAACCAAAAATTTGGAGCTTTTTTGTGTTATCGCGAATTTCGACCTTTCTTCAACCACCTCGAACCACCGCAGCAACGAAGCCAACGTCCTCCAGCTCTCCCTCCATCATCTCTCCATCCGCAATCGCCCAACATGGATGCTGGCAAAGTTCCCGCCAAATACGCTAAGGTGACCGCCGTTCTCGGCCGCACTGGTACGTTCAGCCCGCCAGCATGGAGGGGGGAATATCCACGCAAGGGATGGGATATGGCAAGAGGAGGCGCAGAAAGATATTCTTGTGCATGATATACAGGAAGAAAGCGATATATTTGGCTGAGGAATGAAATGCTGATTTCGTTTTTTTGCTTGGAATAGGTTCCCGAGGAGGTGTCACTCAGGTCCGCGTTGAATTCATGGATGACTCCAACCGAAGCATTATCCGAAACGTCAAGGGCCCAGGTATGCGCCTCTGTTCTATCTCGGTCTTTAGAGCTCTTAACCTGTCTTTTTCAGGGAGATTACGTCAAACTGGATGCAATCTGAAATATCCCATAACTAACAAATATCACCTCTAGTCCGTGTCGACGATATCCTTTGTCTCCTTGAATCCGAAAGAGAAGCCCGCAGACTCCGATAGACGCGAGTTGTTTGGTGGTGGCCATGATAACGGAGGGGTGTTAACGTTGGGCGCGATTTCCTGTTACTATTACTGGTTCTTAATTCGAAGCCTTTGATGTCCCAAAAATAAACGAGATCAAGAGATTCAAAACAACTTCCTCCCCCTCGCTTTCCATTTCTCCTTCTCTGGGCTGGACCGAACTTCGATTTGAGACGTCTGATGAGAAAGACGCGGAATGTCATGGTGGACAATGCCACGAAATATCATGGGTGCGATTGACCATGGTCACTTTCGTATTTTTGATGCCAGGAAATTTAACCGAGAAAATCTCCTGGAATTAAGGCATTACCCACGCATCGACCAAGGACGTCATTTATAAGGTACATCTATATCACAGCTGGTAGAATACCCAAACGCTATATTACAACAATTCAATGTCTTTGAGAAGGCGTTCAATTTGCTCTCCAGCACTATCACTTGTGCTCTCATCAGATAAGGTCTGGAATATACCCCGGAGCACGCCTCCCATCTTCTTCCTGCTGATCTTAGCCTCAAGCTCTTGCGACTTTACCTGGGCCACCTCTAATATTCCAGTTGGAATATTTGCAAGCTTGGCAACGTTCAATCCATATGATCGGTGAGCCACTCCTTCACCAATTTCATATAGGAAAGTAATGTCCTGTCCCTCATCACCGGTTTCAGTAAACCTCATGTGGACATTGCGTAATTCGCCGCCTGGAAACGCACTTGCAAGCCGACTCAGGTTCTGGTAGTGTGTGATGAACAGGGTCAAACTTCTCAAGTTGCGAACCATGTAGTCAAGCACGGCCTGTGCTATAGCCACACCATCATGCGTAGACGTTCCACGACCTAGCTCGTCGAGTATCACTAGTGAACGTGGAGTAGCTTGTTTCAAGATATCGGCCGTTTCCGATAGTTCGACCATGAAAGTAGACTCGCCTGCAAGCATGTTGTCAAATGCCCCCATACGAGTGTACACGGCGTCAAGCATTCCTAACGTAGCGGATTCAGCCGGCACGTATGAGCCAATCTGACCCATGATGCAGATCAAAGCTATTTGGCGGACGTAGCTAGACTTTCCTCCCATATTTGGACCAGTAACCAATAAAGCCCTGGTTTCATCCGTGCTTAGCTGGGTGTCATTGGGCACATAGGAGTCAATCAGAACCTTCTCAACCATCGGATGGCGGCCTTGAGAAATATTGATGATCGTGTCATCCGTGTACTTGGGCTTGACATAGCCTGGCTGTGCGGCAATCACAGATAGCGAGTGCAACGCGTCAATCGTTGCGAGAGCTTGGATGCAGTCCCGGAATAGCTGGTATTTCGTTGAAATATCCGACAGCAACCTCAAGAATGCCGTGTCACAAGCAGCAGCCAACGACTCCTTTTGCTGGTCCCTTTCTCGCATCATTTTTACGACTTCAGGGGTATGGAAGCGTGATACCTTTTTAGTTCCACTAATCTTCCGCCAGGAGGCCGGTACTTTCTTCAAAGCACCTTGAGAGTTCTCAACCTCAACTAGATAGTCGATCCCTGCAACTGAAACATACTGGACTTTCTTTTTGCCTAGAGTCTCGGCTATAGACTTTAAATGGTCTTTAAGCTCATACTCTATCGTTCCGATCATCAGACGATGTTCGCCGATCTCCTCTGACTCCTCTGACTCGCGGAAAAAGTCATATTTGTCATCCTTCTTTGCGGCCGTTTCATTGATTTTATTCAAGTATGAAACAACATCATCACGCATTGTAGGCAGGATGGCAATTGACTCGCTTAAAATAGGGGACTTAAATCCGGAGTCAGCCGGGGACTTTACATGGGCAAAGCTCACGGCAATTGACTGCATGCTTTTGAGCATTGTCAACAGTTCTGGCCGGGAACACTAGTAATAGTAATTAGAATATCAACAAATGTCAAAACAAGCCAGTTTTCCCACTTACCTTCCCGTAGTACACCCGAATCAAAGCCTTTTCAAGATCTACTCTGACCTGCGACAAGGTAGACCCTAAATTGTATGTTAGAGTAGATTTGTCCGAGTCAAGTAGTTCTGTGACCGCCTCTGTGCGCTCCTCCAGCTTTGCTTTGTCTAACAATGGTCTCCCAACCCATCTGCGGAGTAGTCGTTGGCCAAACTTCGTCCGCGTCCGGTTCATGCTCCAAAATAAACTACCTTTTGAAGAGTAGTCTGTCTGGTTTTGGTATATCTCTAGATTCATTAATGTGTTTCCGTTAAGCAGCATATGAGATCTTGCAGAAAATGACTGAAAGTATTTCGTCAAATCGAACACATGCTCTAACCCATACTCTGTCAAATGCTTAATCATAGCAGACAGGCAGACGGTCACATCGTCGGGTAGCTTTAGCACCTGATCTAGCAGACTGCTTGCTTTTGCATCCTCCGCTGAACCTGTAGCGGCCATCTTTCCAGCATAGAAGCTGGATATATGACTATGTGCTTCGGCTGCTGCGGTCTGAGATTTTTCTCTCCACTCAATTCTAACACTATCCCCAAAGGTAGTCATTCTACCTTTGGACAGATGTTGGACGAGTTTATCGGTTGCAGTTGACAGGTCGCCAACCAAGAGCAACTCGCAGGGGGCAATATGGAGCAGTCTAGTTTCAATCTCGCTTCTCATGAACCCATCCTCAAAACTGTCATATACGACGTTCCCGGTTGCTGGCTGAACCGCAACAATTCCGATTTGAACTTTCTCACCATCTCCTTGCCCTTTAGCACCACTCTCCGTCAAACACAGCAAGTAGCCTGTAGACGGTTCCAGAGCACCAGATAGTTCAAGTTCAGCATCGTCTTCAATATACGTTGCCTTGGTATACATATTAGTAAGTTTCCGCACGAATGGTGCATTTCTGTTGTCTCCAGCAGCCTTCAGTGCCGCGGTCTCCAGCTGTTTTACAACGCCGACCTTATATCCAGCCGCCACCAGTCGTTTAACATGTACATGGAGACGATGGATAGGTACACTTGCGGATGCAAAACGAGTCAAGTGTGCTTCTGATGGGTCTGTAGGTCTCGTTAGCCAGAATATTCCATCGTATACATCGAACAAGGGAACTAACGTTCGTCAAACCTAAGCTTCCCCGGTATACACACTATACTGAGAATCTTGGCTGCTATTCTCGCATCCTCGCCATAAAACTGGTACTTGTACCCCACCTGGATGAGCAGCACGGCATCAAGATGCTTGTTCTTGATCTCCATTATTTGCCTCTCCATTGGTGTTAACTTAGATCCTCCAGCTTTCTTCGCAGCTCTACCCTTTGGAGCAGGGGGCGGACTATCTTCTTCCTCAGCATCACTCGCTGCACCCTCGGCAACTAGGTCTACTTCTGAGGCACCATCATGGGAGTTTAATGATGGAAGACAGTCAGGCCCACCCAACCGACGCACGAATTTCTGATGCAATTGGTCCTTCTTTTTGCGCTCGGCAGGCGATATTTGTTCGTCCATTGGGGGTGGTACAGGTGAGGATTGGAACCGGAATCTCTCTGCTCGAGATGCAGAAGATTGAGGCTCCGTGTTTTGTATAGGACTTGATGGTCGGAGCTCTTCTCCCTCTTCATCCACTTCTTCTTCTTTTTCTTCTTCTTCTTCTTCTTCTTCTGTACCACGTTTTCCGGTTATTGATTTCTCTGGTTCATTCTCAGGGGCCTTCCATGCACTGCTTCTTATCCGCTTTTTCACCGGGAGTATGACCTCATCCTCGTCCTCGTCTTCGTCGACATCTTGTTTTGTACCATTGCTCTCTGCCTTTGGTGAAGGTTTCGAATTTGACCTGCCAGGTATTTTTCGAGTAGATTGGTTGCTTATGTCACTTTTCCCGTTCTTCTGTTCGGCAGTGCTCCCACCGGACGTCGGACTGGGGACAGTTTTGGTGAAGAAGCTAGATATCGTCTGTTGTTTGCGTTTCAGACTTGGTGTTTGACTCATTATTCACCTATTTTCGCTTCGTAGATGAAGTTGACTCACAACTAGTCTGATAAATTTGTCCGTCAATGAGCAACTATGCTGCTGTTGCACTCTGTTGTCCTCTGATATCAATTTTGAAGCTATTCTCCAAGTTGTCTCTTGAACGCGTCAAAATCGCGTGTAGTCGCCATGCTTAGGTAATATTCAATTTAAATCGCAGCTCCGCTATCACGTGACCGTTTCTGGCACATAGTACGAAAGTAATGTTATTATTATCATGACGTTTTGGCTGAACTTCTATGAACTGGTCTATGTATGCCTGGCTGCGAAGTTTTAGGAAATCAAAAAATGCATGAAGTATCAATAGGTAAGCTTAAAACACCTATGATCATCTCACTAGTTAATAATGGGAATCGCCCGTTATGCGCGAGTCATCGTTTGAACCGCAATATAGATGTTAGCGGTTTGACCATCACCTGGCTGGGATCACAGCATAGTCTTTGAAGGTAATTGCTGACCAGTGGCTCACAGTAGAAAATATATATAAAGAGAGTAATGAGTGTAATTCATGTGAGTATAGGCAAGACCTCGAGAACCCTAGTAATCACTCCAGAGGGCCATTGAAATACATTCGAGCAATGTCATCGTGGCCCATTTCAGCCATAGGGCTTTTGGGAGATGCGTTTTGAAAAACTCCAGGTGTCTGCTGACCAAATAAGTCTCTGGTATCAACGGTCATAGTATCCTTAACGGCGGCCCTATTGGAACCAGAGTCACAAGATTGCTGAGAGGCGGCATAAGACAATGGGTTCATCGAGTATCCATAGTTATCGTTCTCGTTTTGGGATGGATATCCGTAATAGTACTGTTGCTTCTGAACATTTCGCTCATGGCAAAACATAGGGTCAATATTCTCTTTCCCACGGTAGGCTTCTAGTGCGATAAAGCTATTAGCCGGGACCTTATTTTTGTGGATGTAAACAAGCTACCAACCAGTACTTGGAGGTTTAAAGGGGCCGTAATACGGTGTATTGGCGGAATTTTTGAGTCCATACTTGGATGTGTTAAAGAACACATGGCGGTGGGTGTCCAGTGGAGGATAGTTTATCGGATCGCCGTGGCCACCGAGCATTAATGCCTGTTGAGACAGCTTTTCGAGCTGAGCAGCGCGGCTCTGCTCCCTAATCCTCATCTTGTATCTGTTTTGTGCCATCTGGACATTTCCGCTCAGCTGAGACATGGGTCGTCTACGAGGACGGGTTACCTTCGTCTTCGGGATAGGAGTTTCTCCCTTCAGCGGGCTACTATCGTCAACCATCCCAGAGATGACACGCTGTTTCCGAAGGGTACCATTAGGGGAGAATACTAGCTCGGTAGGTTCGACGCTTTCGGATGTCTCTTCCATTTGCTTGATAATGGACCCATCCTTCTTCTGATTGCGTTTGCGTCTCATTTCTTCAGTTGCAGAATCAAAAATATCCATGCCAGGCCAAAAGACCCCTTTCAGCCGGGTCATCTCATCGCTTCCACGCTGGCTATGGTCTTCCTGGTCATCATACTCATAAGCAGCATCGTCGTCAATGAAGGGATCGGGAGTGATGGATTGCCGAACGAAGCGAAGAGATGGGTCTAACAACGACCCTCTCCTCATTCGCCTGGCCATCAGAGGACTTCCCTCTCCATCTGACTCCGTCTCATCTCCATCCTTCCATACGGTTTGCGTAGATGGGGCTTGCAAAGTGGCCTGGGGCTGATATTGAGTTTGTTGGTGCCAGCCATATCCTGGCTGAGGATTGGGGTTGATCATACTGCTAACAGACATGGGAGAGTACGTTCTGCCAGAGAGACGGTTTCCTTGAGCGTCGTGGGTATAGTAGTTCTGAGAGAGCTGGGGGTCTAAGAAACTAGGAAGCGAACCTCTCCTAGGACTGGATATAATAGGGGCATTCTGGTTGGTAGGTGGAGCCACAGTTGTCGACGGCTGGTGAGAAAAGGCAACCGGAAGGCTTGAGCGGTTACTGGCACGGGAGCCTTTGCCAGTCCGGGCTTCTTTTGCCAGCATGCGGTCTGACAACAGGTTGGCCAGCTTATTCTGCTTATACCACCGGTCATACGCAGCCAGCAGCTCACCAGCCTGGGGTTCCTGCTGACTGCGTACTTGTAGCTTGAAGTAGTGAGACAGATGGCCTTTCGAGCTCACATGGGTCAGGAGGTGAGAGACATCGCTGAACTTGGGTTTCCGGGGGCAGATGTTGCACTTCAGCTCCGACTGTGGCATATTGACCGAATTGGAGTTCATAGAACTAGTATACGGGGGAGAGGGGTTGCAAAGAAGAAAGGAGAGAAGAGTAATACTAAGATAGCAATACTGTAGTACGACAATGAAACTGTTCAATGGTCCCTGCGATCGCTTCTGGCTCAGACAAAAAGATGAGACGTTGCATGGAGAGGCAATCGAGATCTGCCGTCAGTGTCGATGTCGATGTCGATGTCGATGTCGATGTCGATGTCGATGTTGCTGACGGAGGGAAGAAGAGGGAGAGAAACAGCGAGGAGATAAAGAACCTCGCCGGCTGCTCAAAGGGGATATTTGTTTGTTCTTCCCTGTCGTTGGCAGAGGAAGAGCAAGCCTGGAGACGAGGAAAAGCACCAAAAGTTGAGGGAGGAGGCGAAAAGAGCGGAAGAAGGAGGTTGAGATATCTGGAAAGAGCACGGCCGCCGTTGTTGTTGTTCTTTTTAACTTTCTGCACATTAGAAAGTAGAACAAAAGTAGAACAACCGGGACAAGAGCACGACGATGGATATCAAAAGACGATAGATGTGTAAAAGATGAAGGTAGATGTTTGAAGATGATAAGTTTCATGAGCTTATCACGGGGGAGTGGCAGTTTTATGTACACGATGTGCTAATGCTCTCAGGGCTAATATGTATAGACCTCCCTAAGTGGATATATGGCACGCGAGTAGGTATTTTTCTTCTCCTGCCGAGTGTCCCATTGTCCATTTGTAAGGTCGATGGGCCATTAGAAGCGGGAGTTGCGGAGAAAAGAGGGAGTTCTAGTGGATAGCTAAGTGTCGTTGCAGGGTGACTTACAATTAAATATATATCACGGTTTATATTCACTACTATACGCAACGACCTAATGCTCTATCCGTAGCCTCCTTAGGCATACAGCTGATGGATGTTAGCAACGATTTCGCCCTCCACATGTTGTAGTTGATGCCAATGGGACGTACTATACTGGGTCTACCTCTTTCAGGCCTGGATACTTCAATAAACTCAACCCTGTTAGCCCAAACACAGTATGAAATACATCCACCATATCCTCAGGTCTATCAGCGATACCGCCATGCTCAGGATCCTAAAACAGTTAGTACGTCTTACTTTTTCAGGGCATCGTGCATATCAACAGCAGTCCTACCTGGCACCGTAAGATGAATGCAGCAAGCTTATCACCGTTGATCCAATGTAGTCTTCCGATCATTGCTAACGCACTCATCACCCACCAGCTATAGCACACATCCTCTTTCTTTTCAGGCCGCCCGTTCAGGCCTCCATTCTCCAACTGTCGCTCACTAAGCCAGCCACCCAGCCGGTCGGTATCAACCAGATCTAGCCTGTCAACTATAGCGAGAGCTCCGACACAGGTGAATATCTGACCAGCGTGTGACTCGGCACCTGGCCTAACCCCATAGCCTCCATCAAAATTGGCACAGGATTGGATATATGCTACAGCCTTCTCAGTATCGACGAGGTGTAACAGGCCGAGCAGAGAAAGTGCGTTGAACGCCCCATATAGGAACCGGGTATCTGTTTCTCCCCATGAGTCGCCTTTAAACGTACCCGTTGAACGGTCTTGGAGGTTCGCAATCCCTACAGCACCCCATGATTTAGCACAAATCAAGAGATAGCCAACCCTGTGCTCGACGTACAAGAAGCAACCTTCTCTTTCCCACCGCGTCCATCCTTATTCAGTTCGTCAACCGCATCAAGCGTTACAAGTATCTGTACCGCACTAACGGTATATAACATGTGGGCATCGTGTCTAGGCGCCGCACCAAAACCACCATCTTCACTCTGGCAGGATAAAACAAATTCTATCGTTTTGTCGCGCGGTAGCGCATCTGGATGCCCGAGTATGTGCAGTGCGGTGAGTCCCCAGTAGACGCCGTTGAGCCGGAGGTGTTCTGTTAACCAATATTCGAGTTCATCTCTTCGCTGGCAAGACAGGGGTCAGCAGGATGTCTAGACCAGGAAAAGAAGAGCGCATGCCAGGAGAAGGGAATCTTACGCACAGTATCTAGACTCTTTATATAGTCCACATGTTTTTGAGTGTAGAGCTCCTGCGCTCCAGAAGTAGATCCGCCTCTACCTGGGCCTGAGACAAGCGACATGAGTGATAGATCGAGTGATGTAATGGATAAAGCTACAGTGATTACCCGTGTGCCTATCCGAGAGATCAAATAAAAAAGATTCGGATTTTTCCCGCCGTGTAGAGCGCTTCAAAGGACATCGATGGAATATTTGTCATTGTTGTTCTGGAGCCTGGACAGATTTACGTGATGTGCGTCTGTCTAGATTTATCAGCGGGCTGGCTGGGATTGGGCGATGTTTAACATTAGGTTCAGTTTTTGTAACATTAATTGTTCAATTTCGAAGTCACATCACATGACTATGATAAACTCGATAACGTCCTTGCGTATGTAATCAAAGTAGTCGACTTTCGATTTCTTCTGGCTGGATCATTTGCTAAGTGATTTTGGAATCCTCCCTCAAGCAGAGATTCCCAGCTAGTGTTCTGTGCAAGATATGCGAAGTAGTTGCCGGTAGTGAACGTTTTTACCGCCTGACCCAAGGCTGACAGCTTCTTCACATAAAAATATTTTTGCCTACAAGACACATAACTACTTTTCCTCAAGTCTCTATATGGCTTTTCTGGATAAAGCCGCAGGTTAAACTTGTTGTTGCTTCTTTAGAGTATACGACACTCAGGGATGGAGGCAAGGAAATCAAGCTGGAGGATCCATTATATGGTAATCATCCGTCCTGTGGGAAGTTTTCCTCCGAATTAGTGGGCAGTGGCGATTTATCGACCCCGTCTAGCTCTGAGGCTCAGGGGTAACTGCGAGATACGAGTATTTAAAAGAAACAGCATGTGTTTCTGAAAGATGGTGGCGACCAAGCAATTATTCACTTTGTGTATTTCGTAGATCGAACTACCTCTTACGAAGAAATTCGACTCATATCGAGAACTGAATTGTGTAGTCATCTTCGACGTTGATCCCACCTATCCCACCTTGCTAGGAGTAATCCTAAGTACGGGTCAAAGGTACGTGCAATGGGCAAAGGTTTGCTAAAGATGCCCCAGGTCTCCATTTGACGAGCTTTGACAGCAGTGGACGGGTAACTTGCAGAAGAAAGCGCCTGAATCCATGACTAGTTAGTGGCACGTTTGCTAGTCGGTCGACTAGTTAGTTATTTGACCACCGCTGTCTGGCAGCATATCGAGACCTGCATTCATATAACCCCTTAATAATATAATAGGGGCACGAGCAAGGCCAATTTAAATGACCAATCCCAAGAAACGATAATGCAGGACCACACGAGTTCTTCCCCTATTTCTGCCTTTCAGTTTTAGCCTCCTGGCTTTATACGACCTCAGTGGAGCAAGGTTCATAAACATGCATAATTCCAAATGTATATTGAGGGGATCAAAATACGGAGCCGATATCTGGAAACACAGTCGTGATGGAAAAGGCTTTCTATCTTCTAAATTTAAGTTGTAAGACATCTGCATGAAGTAAACACTGTTCTCGGTTTAGGAACCTATTTTTGATACCAGGAATCTCTTCCAATCTTAGGTACAGCTTAAAGGGCGAATATGACAGCGCTTACAACTTAGTACAATCCATAGCCATCATGGGACCACTGCCGTCTAGCCTGAAGCGAAGTCCCATGCCGAATGCCTCCCTCGCTGCATAGATATTGGAACGACAAATTTCATAGTGTTGCTTTGTATGTTAATACGTTTCGTGACCCATGATTAATCAATGCCCATTCTCCAAGGCTGGAAGAGCGCCTGTCCTACCTAGCTAGACATGCCCGTTCTCCACCAAAGAAGCGCCTTACAGCGTAGCGACCAAGAGGACCTCGTGGATTTGGCTGTCTAGGCCCTCTAGAAGCCGCCTGCCGCGAAGGGGGCAACGTTTAATCTCAGCCTCGACGAAGGATACATAAGCACCCGCACTCCCGTCCATCGATCTCTCGGTCTCTCTTGTCCGTCTCTTCCAGGTAGAAACGAGATCGCTCCCTCTCCGCTTCATGTCGACTTCCCCCCTTTTCGTGACATTTATTACATAAGCATATACGTCATGCCAAGTCTGTAGCCGCCAGCAAGCACGCTAGTCCCCTTCCAGCGCTGACGTCAGCATCGCCTCTTCGTCTCCTTTCGGCAATTCTCGACTTCAACGACTTCAACGTCAACCTCATCTTCGTTTTCTGCGGATTCTGTCACTCTTCACATCATCGTCTGCGCTTCGTTCTGGTGCTGCTTCAACTGTTTTGTCCTGGTGGAAACGTACTCCTGCTGCTGCCAAGCGCAGAGCATGCTGAAACATTGACTTTCGCCGCCTCCTTTACCCCTTTAGCCAAGCTTCTCTAGCCCGCCATTAATATCGATATCTTATATACTCTGCTCGACCTGCAGCGTCCAACCGCCGAACTGGGATCTTATACAGCCTGTCATCCTGCCTGCTGTCGTGGACCGGGTTTATTGACTTCGCCTTTCGTCTTGTCCCACCGATCGATCCCCGGGTTCCCTTTACCGCCGGTTCAACTTCGCTCTTCTGCCGTGGCGGGGGGTTGAAAACGAGGCTAAAGTCGTACTGACACTATCAGCTACACCCACCATTTATCTATTGGTGGTTGACTGGCATCTCTTTTTTTTTATAAACGACCAGAGACAGCACGCTCGAACGGATTTTGTTCAGACCCTCGTGTGTGCGTTGCGTGTTGTTCGTAAAGCCGCTCTTGTTGATCGACGCTAACACGACCTGGTGCCTGCATCCCCCCTCGACCGGCCGGGGGCTTGCTTCGTTGTCTTTTTCCACCCTTTTCCTCCTTCTCTTACGGAGCATCCTATGTGGCCATTATTATCAACCACCTTCCCTTTCACACGCAACAGAAACTGTTCGGCTTTTCCTGCTATCCTTCGTTTCGAACTTTCCCCTCCTTATTTCGAAAAGTTGCTGTGTAGCTGAAGACAACTGTGTGGTGGTTCTGCGCGAATCAGGTAAAAGGTAGGGTTAAATCCTCCTCAGCTTTCGGCTGTTTTTCGGTTTCAGCTTCGCCCATATCCTCCCCTATTGGCCGCGCGGGTGCTGTTCTTTTGTCTGCTGCTTGTTCTTTTGTACTCGAACCTGTCGATCGCCTCAGTTCAGACGAATAACTCCGTCTCTGTACCTGTATCAAATCCTTGATGGGGTCAAGGCTGCTCACGGAGCGCTCTGTCTGATACAGAACCATAACAAAGGGCGGAGCAAAAGCGGGAGCCACGCAGGAGAACAAGAGCCCAGACGAGAATTAGGATTTGAAGGGGAAAAAAGAACAAGAAGAATCCACGACGGGACAGAGAAAAAGTCAGCCCTATTTCACGGCATACGGTTATTCTTGTTGTATCTCCATGTTGCACGAAGCCTTTCCAGTGATGTTCTTTATTTCTTGCCCGTTGGAGGTTGCTTTTTTCTGTGGTCGTCTGCAGCCATCTTCGACGTGCAACGCATAACTACCACCTACCATGTCCTGTCATGTTTGTTGCCTTGTCGATTCCTTCACCGTCTCTTGAAACTGACTGTTGTCCTGCGTTTTTTGCTTCTTTACGGGAACATGAACTCGGCTTACTCTGATTACTGTCTAGAATCGTATCCTCGTCGTGAACGCAGTGGCTCCCCATCTGATCTTGGGGTTCCCCTTTTCGTGTCACCCTTTCTACTATCCGCGACTGCTCATATCTCACCAACGCAACCTGCCGCTTGAAACAGCCCGAAGCCAACGATATTTACACCGTTGATGGCTAGCGCCTGACACTGCCATCCTATCGTCCTGGCTTTCCTTGGAGGTTATAATACATACGTGGTGCAGGGAGCGTGTCTGATCAATCGCCCGGCATAACTGCCTTCGCCCGTTGCGTTGGAGCCCAACTCCGAACATAGCCCCCGCATACCTTGTCTGCTGGTTGACAGATAGAACGAGGATCCTGATCCAGAGTCCACGTTTTGGCGGAGCATTCTTCCCTGGGTTTATGCCAGTGCGACGGCATATCAGCACAGAGTAACCACTCGGGCTGGCTCTTCTTGTTTTTATATCTCGAACGGTACGCTACTTGTCAGGCGCAAGTCATTTCAGCCCGATATCCCTTTTCCTCGCTTCTGCTGTTCCGTGCATTTACCTACATTGTTAATACTGTTGATATGACTGACCTCGTCGATTATAGCAAATTCCCCGATCCTTTGTTGCCTTCAGGCGCAACACTCCTTTATCACGCTCATATTCCCTTTTCAGCCTTCTTATCGACATCTCAGATCTCTCGGTGCATTCCCAAGGGGAGGCCGAATAGATCTTCAGTCTACATATCAGCAATCATGGCCAGAAAATCGGTCCAAGTATCTCCATCGCAACTTGAAAAGTCCAGCCGTGAGACATCTCATCAGTCAAAAACATCCCCATCCCAAAAGCTTAGCCCTCCGTCGACATTCCCAAAGGGATCAACCATCAGACCCGTCACGTCCATATCATCAAACGAGCCGGTTCGGGAGCCCGAAAATGTGACAAACAAGGCTGAACATCCACAAACACCAGCGATAACTGCCATTCCACCATACCCTCCCTCACCCCAGCAGGCCAATAAACACACCCGCGATCCGTCCAAATCTTTCTTCTCCAACCTCAAAGCGTCGAAATCTGCACAGAAAATACATCTTTCAGACGCGTCCAGTGGCCACTCTGGAGAAGAAAAATCTTCGATGAGTCGAGCCAGCTCCAGGGATAGGGATAAAGCTGGCCGTGGCACCGCGACGCGAACGTCACCGAAACCCGATTCACCTAAACAGACTGACAAACCTAACAGTATGTATGCACCTGGTTTCACTAACATTACAACGCTAACCCTGGCCCCTTGCCCCTTGTCGCTAGGCGATACAAGTGAAGATCACCAGTCCCCCCCTCCGCGCTCCGCAAGCTTAAAACCAGCTGAAGACTCCGCCTCAACTTTCAACCCACCAATACTTCCACCATCTTCTTCCTCAGCACCACCTGCCCCTGCAGCGATACATTCCCTCAACCCAAAGAAAAGCAAGCCACGCTTTGGAGGCTTACTGGCTCGCACACGCTCCATCCGTGCTGACGACGGTCTACAAAGCCCCCGTTCGGCCGGGCCTAAAAAACGTCCCTCGAATGGTCTGCTACGCCTTGAGGAGACCAATACCGATACCGATCCTCCACTGAAGACCGCTCCTCTGCAACAAGAACGGACATTCAGAGACGTCATGGGCTCGACGTCTCGCAACCGATCCGCCGACCGACCAGCAACTCGAGATGGCAGTAGAACACTCTCATCCAGCCAGAATAGCGGCAACTCTCAGCAAATACAAACTAATACTAAGCGAGAACGCAGCCATGGGAGCTCAATGATGAGTTCAGTGGCTAGCTCATCACTGTTTAGCAACATCAAAAGCACCTCCAGCGGTGCCGCAGACCGTATCGGCAAGGCTGGCAAGGGATTCTTCGGAAAAATCGCACGGAGTGGTAGCAGCAACGAACGAGAGGTTGTCCAGGATGACAACTATGTGTGCTCTGTTATTAACCTGCCTCTAGTTGAGCAGACACGGCGAACAAGAATGGTGAAGAGTTTGAGAAATTCCAAGGACAAGACAGAATTTTGGATGCCTGCTTTACCATGGAGGTGCATTGAGTATGTTTACACGTCATATTTTATCTTCAAGAGTGATCTCATCGTGCAGTGATACTGATTGCTTTTTTTTGCTAGTTACCTTAATTTCAAAGGTTGTGAAGAAGAGGGCTTATATCGTGTTCCTGGAAGTGGGAAGGAGGTGAAACACTGGCAACGACGGTTTGATACAGGTTTGTCTACCCTGTCTGCAACTCTTGGGTAACGCAGCCTGCTAAGATATAGATAGAACTCGACATTAACCTATTCGATGAACCCGATCTCTACGATATCAACACCATCGGATCTATGTTTAAAGCCTGGCTCCGTTGTCTCCCTGATGAAATTTTGCCAAAAGCGACTCAGGCCAAAATTGCTGCTGAGTGCCCTGGCGCCACCACTGCACCACAGCTACTCAAGGATGAACTCTCCAAGCTTCCTCCATACAACTACTACCTTCTCTTCACAATCACATGCCACCTCAGTCTCCTCCATTCATACGTCGACAAAAACAAAATGGATTACCGCAACTTGTGCATCTGTTTCCAGCCTTGCCTGAAAATAGATGGATATTGTTTCAACTTCCTTGTCTGTGACTGGAAGAACTGTTGGCAGGGATGCTGGACAGAGAAGGAACATCTTGAAATTGAGGCGGAGCTCGATAGGCAGGAGAGGGAAAAGCAACAGCAGCAGAATGGCCATCCTTCAGATAGTTCTGCTGTAGCACCTTCGAGGACCTCCGGCGCAACGGGTGAAGAGAGAGCCATCTCATCGTCGGGTAGCAGTCAGCCACCGCCACAGGTGCAACAATCGCCCCAACACTCACCGCAGCAATCACCGCGGCAATCGCCACGACAACAATCGCGTAACTCTGCAGACTGCACGGATGGAGCGCGTGCTATACCGCCGAGACAGGACTCGACCCGCTCCGTCAGCCCCAAGAAGACTGCAAAAGAGGTGGCCCGACCTAGCAATCATTCGCGATCAACTTCCCAGCTACCCGAGCTGGGTCCTCCCTTATCGCCTATCCGCTTTTCCACAGAACTGACAACCTGATATCCTTGAATTATCTTTCCTAACCGCTGACCTACCTTCAGGCATACGTCGGGGTCGAAGGAGATAGCACTCCCCTAATAGAGCGTACCATACCCCTTGCTTTACTTTCCCCCCTACAAACCAATCTTCGTTCTCAGAAAATCTTTTTCTCATTTATGTTCCGCAGTGGATTGCGTTGCTTCACCTATTCCCTGTTACAACTTCAAGCACCATGTCCTTTTAAAATATGATTCCCTCCACAACCACCAGACGATACCATTCTCCTTACTCGATTTTCTTTAATGAACCGTGCCTTTTATCACCTTTTCTTCCTCCCCTCTCCGGCTGGCTTTTTGACGACTTTTTTGCGGTATTTGCTTTTTATTGGTCCTACGTGGAAAGCATTGGTTCGGCGCATCGAGCGATTTGATATCTTCGTTGGCGTTGGCACATTCAATTCTACTTGTGTTTCGTCATTGCCCGCCTTTTTCTTTTGGTCCTGTGGCTTTTGAATTTTCTTTTCCACTGTCCTACCTTTTTGGCAACTGTTTGTGTCGTTGGTTCTACTTGTTGATACAAAGTTGAATAAGTCATTTTGAATTAATATCACTCTCAAATTTGTTTAATAGACTGCTGGCTTCATCCTCTCCCCATGCCCATGTCAATTTGGTTTACCCGGCACTCAATATAGAAGAGTGTGATCTTCTACCTTAACTAATTGAAGGCCGTAGATAGGCTGAGGTTGATTCAATAATACGATTGACATGATCTAATCATTCACTTTTTTAAAATCCCTAGTCTACAGGATATATCCATTGCCCGCCCTAACGCCATGCAAACCATTATAACAGACGGCCGTAACACCTGGTAAAACTACCAACTCGACTTTTCGACCTTACTTCGCCTTCCCGGTTCTAGCCTTGCGTTCGTTGGCCCTCATCTTTCTCTCGTTTCTCCTCGCTCTTTCCATCCGCTCCTTTCTGCCTTCGTTTCGAATTGACTTGCCCTCGTTATTCATCTGTTCCTCTTTCTTCCACTTGGACTCATCAACCTCCACAAGCCAGTCATCCTCGGTTCCCTTATTTTTCCCCTTATATCCCCACTTGGGCACCCACTCGCCCTTATCTTCGTCATAAACCAGGTTTTTCTTCCGTTCGGTGTCAGCTAGGCCGCTGCCCAGCTTGGTGTTGTACTTGCCAATTCCCTTCTTGCGGGCAAACAGCTCCCATTTGGTAGGAGGTTTGGGAGTAGGCAGTGGTTTGAACCGAGGTACCATGGTCGTTGGACGTGGAAGGGTGAGAAGAACTCCGTCTTGCATTGAGCTCGTTATCGGACAGGTGGTGAGGAGCTGGTTGACAAGGCACTGGGCGCCGTCGCGTGCCGTAGCTTTCAGGCTCTGATTTAATATCAATGGCGAAGATTTTGCAGACTGAGGGAGATCAATTGGGTTCGCATCCAACGCCATAAGGTTTCCAAGATCAAATACATATGGTGTGGGCTTTTCAACCGTTATCGGCCTGGATTGCCTGTTAAATATAAGAAAATCTGTAGGTTGAAGTATCATACGCACAGTCTCTCTGGCTTTGTCTTTGACTTGACCTTAGTCGTCGAATCCGCCATGGCTATGTCCGGCATGAGGTTCTAGGCTGTCTTCTTTCTTAATACCAAATAATGCGACTGATTTGTCTGCGATATATAAATTACTGTTCGTGAAGATCAAAAAAAATAAATCAAAAATTCACAAGGGTGGATTCCCCTTGCCGCTTTAAATGAAGCTTGGCAGTGCAATTACATCACGTGATATTGTAAAAACAGCGACTACTTTTTCCCCTTTCGATCTTCCATCACTTTTTTTCCTTCAAAGTAAAAAAAGCGACGTCAAGAAGCGAAAAACCATCCACGACGAACTGCAAAGTGCACGCGGCGAGCCATTGGCGTTCGGTAGAAGCCAGATCAGCAGTCTGGTGTGCCCGAAGATGGCTTCCTCATGTTGCTGGAGATGTGTCTCCCAGATACGCTCCGTATACCCGTCTCGAGCACTCTCGCTACCGGCGCTCACTCAACCGTCAACTCTTCTCCGTACACTACCCACATCCTCGTCATTCCACACTAGCGCAGCTCTCAATGCCGCTCCAGCTAAGAAAGGGAAGAACCAGAATCCCGGACCGAGATTCCGTGAATCACGAAGTACACGAACCCTAAAGAAGGGGAAGGCAGGCAGGCCGGCTCGACGAAGCCCAGACGAGCGAAGGGCTCTAAGCCATCGAATTGTGCTAAGTAACAACAATGCGCTCGAGGTTACCGGTCTACAAGAGCTTAGTGTGGCGAATTTGAGTGATCCAGAGCTTAGGACTCAAGTAATTGGTTTGCCAATGAATTTGATTGATAGATTGAGAGCTGTTGAGGCCTTCAGGAGGAGCCAGGGATGGAGTTTGTTCAGACGGCCCTGCACTGTGGTTAGGAAAGAAACTGTTGAGCTGGGCAGATTGATTGAGCATATCAATGATAATGAAAAAGGCACGGAAGCTGTCATGAAAATTGTCACAGGCGGGAGAGGTACAGGGAAAAGTGTTCACCTGCTTCACGCTACTACAATGGCCTTCTTGAAGAACTGGGTAGTGGTCACCATCCCAGACGGTATGTCCCTATTTCCATTATGATTTCCAAGCTAGGTGCTGACGTACAATATAGCCTGGGACATTGTCAACGGCACAACGGCCTATGCTCCAGTCCCCAACTCAAATCCAGTCAAATATTTCCAGAAAAATGCCACTGCCGAGTTGCTCAAGCGCATAGCCGAGGGAAACAAGGAAGTTCTCTCAAAACTGCACGTTTCCCGATCACACCCTAACGTCAAGGACTCTGGGATGTCTCTCTTCGAGATGGCAAACATCGGCATTCAACAGCCGGACCTCTCATGGTCGATATTCCGCTCTCTCTGGTCTGAGCTGACTGCCACAGGACCAGCAATGGACACAAATGCAGTAAAGGGAACTAAGCCATTCATTGCTCGTCCTCCGCTTCTCGTCACGGTCGACAATCTCGCTCGCTGGATGGCTGAGTCCAAGTACCGCAATCCAGAATATGAGCTCATTCACGCTCACGACTTTACCATTGTCGAACATTTCCTCTCTCTGATGCGTATGGAGCCCAAGAAAGCCTTGCCGAATGGCGGTCTTGCGTTGTATGCAACCGCTGCCTCCAACTGTATGAGATTGCCTTCTCTGGAGCTCGGAATCAAGCAGATTGCTGCTCGACAGGCTGGAATTAGCCCATCCTCTCCTGATTACCCTGTTCTGTACGGCAAACTGGACGACCGTGTGGTCTCGCTGTTCTCTCAGGTGAAGGAAATGGGTTATATTGAGCTTTCTGGCCTGGGCAAAGACGAAGCAGCTGGCTTGTTGCAGTACTATGCAAAGAGCGGCCTGCTGAGAGACCGTGTTGACGGACGATTGGTTGGTGAGAAATGGTCCCTGTCCTCTGGTGGTATTGTTGGTGAACTGGAGCTTCTCGGCCGCCGTCTACGAGCTCTACCTCTTACTGTCAAGGAACAGTAGCCCCTGAAGCGCTTCATGTATTACTTGTCTTGCTCATGTACATCATTCACTTTTTGTGTATCTTGTTTCTTATGTCTTGATTGACTACTACTGCGTTTACTGTATGATTACTTGCAACCACTAGATGGAGAAGAAGAATAGCGGCATCTTGATTGACAAGGCTATGATAATAGTAAAGAAAAAATCCAACCCTTGGGTTGAGCTCCCACCATCCCACCACGCTCAACCCCTGCCCCTATATACGCAAGCGGAAAACTCGGGCGCTAGGAAAGATTACATAAGGTTAGCCACGTGATGAGCCTCTGAAAAGGAAAAGACAACGACATCTCAACTTCATCAACGACAACATCACAACACAACACGAACAACGACAGCAGGAAGATGAGGTGACTTACTCTCGATGCAGTGCAGCTGCGCTACCCCAAGACTGACCATCCCTCCACATGGATTGCGCGCCTGTGATGTGACGGGATGTAAGCTTGTGGCTTTGGAGACAGATGGTTGCGTGTGTGTGGGATGGGGACTGATGAAGAACCGGAGAGGAGACAGGAGCAGAGGAAGGGCAAGAAGAAGATGAAGAGGAGGAGAAGAAAGAGAGAAGTTGGATGAATATGCATACCTCTGAACAGCCGGTGCCGCGCCACCACAGGAACCCATCCCTCGAAGCCACATCTGGTGTCTGCACATGTGTTAGCATGTTCATGATGGTATAGATGATGGGGTTACTTGCCTCGATGCAGTGCACGCTGCGCTACCACAGACTGACCATCCTCCAGTGGCTTTTAAAAAAAGAATCTAGAAAAGAAAAGATGCAGGCTGCAAGTGTCTGCACATTTGTCAGTATGTGATCAATGGTGAGTGATGAGGTGACGGGAGACTTGCCTCGATGCATTCCGCACTGCGCTACCACAGACAGACCCATCCTCCCTTGCAGCCTTAACATTTTATCTGCGAAAGAAAACTGTCAGTCCATGAACACATGGTAGGGTAGGTGATACTTCCCTGGATCAGTCCCTTTGCAACAACAGCAATATATGCAATTTCCTTTATGAAAAACCGTCAGTACGTGAGCACGAGGTAGGGTAGGTGATACGCCCCTGGATCAGTCTATTTGCATCCTCTGCAACAAAAAAGCCCTGGACAGAAGAAGAGCACCTATGCGAGAAACCGTCAGTATGTGAACACATGATAGGGTATGTTATACGCCCCTGGATTAGTCCCTTTGCATCTTCCTTTGCAAGCTGGCAGAAAGTTAAGTCAGAAGATATAGGCTGCAAGTGTCTGCGCAAGCGTCAGTATGTGAACGATGATAAGATACTGGATGGGTTGCTTACCTCGATGCAATCCGTTTTGCACTACCACAGAAAGACCAATCCTCCCTTGCAGCCTGAGCAAGTAGGGCCACCGTGTTGCCGACACACAGACGTGTATCGGCAACACGGTGGCCCAAACCTAGAGTTTGAATCGGTTAGCGCACATCTTTTTTTTTTGAAAGACCAGGAAGGAGAAGGAGGGTTACTTACCGTTTGTTCGGCTTACGCCGACCACCATCCACACCTGCTCCCGCTATGGCCCCGGTGGACCCCCTAGAATAACGTTAGCATGATACCC